ACCAGCCAGGGTTGGCTGCCACCACAAATGGGCCTGAAATGGTCGACGTCTTATTTTTTAACAGATTAGGCTGAACGAATACATTTTGTTGTCAGAGAAAGAGCAATATTTTGTGAAATAAACATGGAGATTTTGGTTCAGTATTCTTTTCACTTCAAGTTGAACACTTCTGGATCTTCATTTGTGGATGGAAGCTGCAGCAGTGATCTGATGGGGTTCTGGTCACGTAACATCAGAGCTCTGTGCTTGTAAAAGGATACGGCTTAGGGCCTCGATACTTGGCGGAATGCCTACTTCCACCAAGTTCTACCCGTGTCACTCGCGCGAGTCAGGAGGTGAGGCTGAGGAGCCTAACGCCGAGAGAGGCCTGGAAAGAAAAGACAAGAAATCGGGCCTTCTCGGTGGTGGCTCCTCGCCTCTGGAATAACCTTCCCCCTGACATTCGCGCAGCTCCCTCGCTGGGTATTTTAAAAAATCAATTAAAAACACTGATGTTTCGGCAGGCCTTCCCCTCAGCCAATTTCTGATCTTCCCTCCTTTTTCCTCTCTTCTAGTGTTTGTCCTATCTTGTCCAAAGTTTCTCCCCTTACTTAAAATTGTTTTAATTATATTGTATTACGCTTTTTGTAAGCCGCCTAGAGTGGTCTTAAGTGACTAGATAGGCGGGATATAAATAAAATAAATAAATAAAATAAATAAATATTGGCTTTAAATTCTAGGCATCTTGTTCATATGTGTGAATGTTTGTGGTTAGGAAGTAATGTTCATTACAAAATTTTAGGTAAGAAATAAATAATCTTTAGTGACATAAAGGATGTTTTTAAAATTGCATAGGATGAAATTATACTTTGGTTCCATCTACACTGATGTAAACATATTAACAACAATCTATTAGTAGCAGGCATCCTTTAGTCTCGAGAGCCTATTGTAACGTGCTCTGTCTTGGAACAGCATCTAGTGTGGCAGAGAAGGTCAATTCGAGAGTGACAATCCCTTCCACACTGAAGACAATCTATCCCCCGTCCAGCTCCCTGATTTTGCTGGTTTGGGGACTGCCTCTCTGCCTTGGCCTGCTGAACTAGTGTCTCTTCAAATTGGGAGAGACCATGCTGTACTGCCTGCCTCCAGGCTGACGCTCAGATGTTAAGGTTTCCCATCTGTTAAGGTCCATTCCTAAGGCCTTTCGATCCCACTTACAGCTGTGGTCTCCCTCTGGGGCGCTTTCCTTGCACTAATTCTCCATATAGGAGATCTTTTGGAATCTGACTGTCAGCCATTCTCATGACATTTCCAAGCCAACATAGATGTTGCTATTTCAGTAATATATACATGCTCAAAATTCCAGCTCGTTTTAGGACTACTGTATTTGGAACTTTGTCCTGCCAGGTGATACCAAAAATACATCAGAGACAAAGCATATACAGTACAGGAATGTACTCAGGATACAAGCGCTATAGACCTGGATCTTGGTATATGACATCAGCTTTTTGTTAAGCCCTACTCTCTTTGTGAGTCTAGAGAACATGGTAGGGTAGCTGCTTTGCCAATGCGTTTATCCAGCTCAACAGCTAGAGAGAGTGTGTCAGACATCATTGAGCCATGGTACCCAAAGTCATGAACAGCCTCCAATTCTTGTGTAGAGATGGTAATAGAGGGAGGGGAATCCACACCCTGGTGCATGGCTTGTGTTTTCTTCAGGCTGATTGTTAATCCAAAGTCTTGGCAGGCCTTGCTAAAGCGTTTCATGAGTTGTTGGAGTTCTTCAGCATTCTAAAGCCTGCTTAATACCGTCATACACTCCCTCAATGTTACCTGTGTCCACTGTTATCTGTATCTGAGAGCAGAGCTGAAGCCAATATTAGTTAGAACATCTCCTGGAAGTCTGTTGGACTTTGCCATGAGCAACTCGAAGAACCAGCAAGTTATACTCACTTAGGACAGGCTTTGTATGCTGCTAGAGCTCTCCTCTTATTCTCAATGGCTGGCATCAGCTCCTCCAAATGGGCTTCAAACCAGTCTGCTGTCTTTTTGGTCTTCTTGCCAAATGTGGACAAGACGGTGTTATAAACAGCATTCTTGAAATGTTCCCATCGTTCAGGTGCATTTGCATCAGCTGGTCCTGGAAGAGTTTCCTCAAGCACTTGAGCAAATTCCTCCACTTTTCTCTGATTGCGAGTCTTGCTGATGTCAATATGTGGTCTTCCTTCCTTTTTCATGTGATGCAATCTCTTTAGTCGCAGTTTGACTCTGCTACACACCAGGGAGTGATCAGTATTGCAATCAGCACCCTGATAACTGTGTGTGATCATAATACTACAGAGGCTAGAGCATCTAGTGAGGATCAAATCGAGCTGATACCAATGCTTCAGTCTTGGATATCTCCAAGAGACTCTGTGTTGAAGTTTTATATTAAATAACTTGTTGCTGATGCACAGAGATCATCATAACAACAAAACTCCAGCAAGTGTTGGCCGTTTTCGTCTATTAACAACAGTCTATTAAATGTATGTATTTTGTACATATTTCCATAGGTTGACAAAAGACAAAAAGAGAAAAAGGCAAAATTATTGTAGCCCTTTAAAAGTTTGAGCTTTTGTGGATCAAAGTCCTCTTCCTCAAAGAGAAGAAAAATTATTAGCCTTTAAAGTGCCACATTATTGTGCCTCTGCCCCCCCCCCTTCATTCTTCAACATACTGAGGCAGACTAACCAAGCTACTTCTTTGGATATTTCCATGTATTCACTTGCATTTTCATAGTACATATCATTTTTACTTATGGCAGTAACTTTCAAATATTTTAGACTATTAAAATGCTGAAATACTGTAATCTATTTAAAAAAAAACTTTTTTATATATAAAAAAACAACTAATTAGCCGTTTTTTCATGCTGTTTCCATTTCAGCAGTGGCACTTGCTACTGTGTCCTCCCAAGCTGCTCTTAGCTTGTGGGGAGCGGGCACTATTTCAAAAGCCGCACTTAACCCCAATGAAAGCTGCCACCTTGCTTTTAAAGGGAAGGTGTTGGAACTCTGAAGCAATAGTAATGTTATATATTTTGGATGTACATATTTCAGTTGCCTTTGGTAACTAAAAATAGTTGCTGATCTATGGAATTTCAGTCAGAATTCAAAGAAAACTTGGGTGTGTAAAATACTATATTGCCCTTACATTTCTTCATTGTGCTTCGAATTCCCTGTTGTCCATTCTTCAACATCTGGATTATGGAGAACAACTGCCGCTCTCCAGATGTTATGAACTCATTCTCATACTACTGGCTGTGCTACTGACATTATCTGGCATCTGACCCCCCTCTCTTAGGTCAGTGGTCCCCAAACTTGGATCTCCAGATGTTCTTGGACTTCAACTCCCAGAAATCCTGGTTAGCAGAGGTGGTGGTGAAGGTTTCTGGGAGTTGTAGTCCAAGAACATCTGGAGGCCCAAGGTTGAGGACGACTGTCTTAGGTCACCCCCTCAGAGCAATAAGGCTTTGAATTTCTGGTGTGCGTCATTACTGTGCCCCTTTGGACTCTGAAAGCCTTTTCTCTTTCTTTGGGAGGGAGGGAGGAAGAAAGCATGCGAGCCAGAATCTGCAAATCATAGTCCGCTGGTTCTCATTAGTGTTTCCCTAGTTCTTTTCAAATGTGAGAATAAAAATCCTACAAATACTATTCAGTTACATTATTGGTTTGGGGATGGGACTGGACTTGAGTTTTCCAACACAGTTGTTTCATTGCAAAAAGGAAGAAACATCATTTTAAAAAGGAATGGATAGCTGACTAATATGATTGTGTGGATGGGTACCTTGTTAGAATGCCACTTAGAGTAAGAATGTTAGAAGACTTTTGGTAAAGGAAGATCCAGGTGATTTAAATCTATTCCTTTCATTAATTTATATACTACTTCATTAATGTGATGGCACTATTCTGCTTGCACAAACCACCCACTACTACCCTTTTAAATCAGAACTGCCTTACTGTTTCAGATTCATATGAACAGTGCTGCTGCTGCTGCTGCTGCTGATGTGGCAGTCTGGCTTTAGGTGGAAGGTGTCTTTAGCTGGAAAATGTTGACTGCCTTGTTGGGACAGAGCATTCTTTTCTTGCCCTTTAGCTTGCGTTTCTTCCCCTGTCAATAGCAGATTTTGAAGACTGTGCAGCTTTTTAGAAGCCCTCCACCCCCTGGCCATTCTGTTGTGCTAATGGTTAACTCCATACTAGGCAAAGAGCTGCCCTAGCTTTACCCTTGCGGGTGTTGCTCTCACCTTGTCCCAGACCAAAACATTTGGAAGGAGCAGCTGTAATTTAGAAAATATAAACTCTTTGATCTCTTGCAATGTTGCAGAAGATGTTGAAGGCATCCAAGGGATTTTAAGAGCTCTACCTTAGCACTCTCTGTAACACCCCGGGGATTTGCATTTGGTATGTGCCAGCAGCACTGATGGCCTGTAACATCTCTTAAGTTCCAGTCATTCTGTTTGTATTGTATTGGTTGCCAGTTGGGTCCTTGCGACATGGAGTAGTAATTTCAGCTGCATGGACTCCATGTTTCCGTTTCAGTGAAGAGAAAGGTCTGGGTCACAGATCCACTACTCTGCCACTGACAGATATCCAGCTGCAAGACAACATTGAAACTGGAACTAAACACAATGCAGGATAGCATGTGCATATTGTCAATGTGAAATATATGTGGAGGGCATGCCTTTTAACAGTTACGCTTGCCTGGCGCTTTGGTGCTGAAGTGTTTAGGAAAAGCCCTAAAGGTTGTGTAGTGCATTGATACATGTTGTGATATTTTTCTTTGCCTGTAGGCATTTCTTTCTGTGGAGATCTTTCAGGCTTTGTGTGATGTGCTTCTTTAGCACCTTCCTCCTACTCTGCTTCTTGGATTTTCCAAATTAGACCATGTGTGCCAAGAGGACACGACGTTTAGAACAGACACAGGAGAGACACCACAGAGCCCTGATATTGCCACTGACTTCTTTTTCTTTTTCTTTTTTTCAGTTTCTCCAGAAGGCCATGGAATTACCCAGTGAGAAACTAAAGAAGGAACTGGAGGAGGAATTAAAACTAAGCACCGAGGAGCTACGTAGCCATGCCTGGTACCATGGCTGCCTGCCACGGCAGGTAAGAGGCTACAGAGAGTGTCGGAAGGAAAAAGGGCAAGGAATTATTTATAACATCTTGGAAACGTGGAACTGTTCTTGATGCGAACTGAAGAGTTTGCTTCCCCAATTGTAATCCACTCAGAGATAATGGTGCTTGTAGTGCTTTTCCTACCCAGAATGAAACTGTCTTTTGTAAAAACTCTCTTGATCCTCTGTCCCTTTTACAGGTTCTATTAGTATTAATTAGGGGAACCATCTGAGTAGGAGGTTTAAGCATACTAGATGGTGAACTAGGAGGTGAGGAACAAACCATGGACCGGGATGGGTTTGTTCCTCCAAAGATGTTCTAAACCTCCCCCCCTTTCCACTTCAGTAGAAGCAGAAATTGCCACATGGTTTTCTTTGGAGTTCTTTTTGTCCCTAAAATCACCCTCTTTCTTCCAGTGTGCTGCTACCTTTGTTACAGATTGAGGACAAAGTTTGCCTGTCACACCGGCTGAAAGATTTGTAGCTAACCCAGGAAGGAGAAGGCTGTCACAGGACAGAAATCTTCCTCTTCCTCTGGTAATGCTAAATGATTCTCCACGTCTTTCCACTGAAGTCTTGAGTTCTTTTCCCTCTGTGAGGCGTTACAGGCATCTCCCGTGGTGAAGACTGTTTCGTCTGTCGTCCCCCTCAGTGAATAAAGCCCATCCTTTTCTCTTTCTCCTCTGGGACTTAGGAGGCAGAATCCCTCCTGCAGGATGATGGAGACTTCCTGATCCGTGACTCGCGATCCAGCCCCGGTGACTTCGTCCTGTCGTGCTCCTGGAGAGGCCAAGCCTTGCACTTCAAGATCATCCGGGTGGTCCTGCGCCCCCGAAAGGGCTATTCCCGCACTCTCTTCCAGTTTGAGCAGGAGCAGTTCGACAGCGTGCCTGCTCTGGTGCGCTTCTACGTGGGCAACCGGAAGGCCATTTCGGAGGTCTCTGGCGCTGTGGTGTCCCGGCCGGTCAACAGGAACGTGCCCCTCCGCTGGATTAAGGAGCGCTGTAGTGACACGGGGCAACCCCCTGGCCGGACAAAGGAAGATGGGGCGGCACGTAGGGGCAGCTTTCGTGCAGCTACCGCTGGAGAGGAAATGGGAGAAGGGGGCCTGCTCCGGTGAGCAAAGAGTCTCAGTGGAGCCATAGGTGGGCTTGCAGAGACAGCTTCGGGCTTAAGAAAGGACGCGTGGGGTTGGAGATGCTGTGACTTTATTGCGCTTTGAAGGCCAACATAGCTGAAATACTGAGACCTGTAAATCCTAGGTCTCCTTCAGCTCTAATACTAGACCGTGAGGAGGTACCATAGGCACTCATTTCAGGGAGGTGAAGGATGCAAGAAGAGCCCTGCTGGATCAGACCTGTTTAGTCGAGCATTTTCCTCAAAGAGAGGCCAGGTGGGTACCTCTGGGAAGCTTGTCAGCAGGACCTGGGGTGCAACTGAACCCTCTTGATTCTACCCTGCTACGTCTGGCGCTGGCAGCAATAAACAGCTCTGTGACTCATAGCCACTGATAGCCTTACACAGTCACAGTCTGAGAGACAGATGAACCTGTGAATGGGACTTACTTGCAATTTGGCCCCTGAAGGGTCATAAGTAGGCCACTCACTTGTGAGCTTCAGGAAAGTCTGATTGCTCCCCTCCCCCCCGCTTCAACTGGCTTTTCTGTAGAGGTTTGAAAAACAGGTTTTGTAGAAGTTTGAAAAACAGGGTTTGTGGACAGGAATGGATCAATCAGTTCTCTCTTCTGGTTCTTCTCTCTGCCGCAGAACAAAAGATCGAAGTGGGAGTGACCCCAGTAGCCTGGACCAGCTGGGCCGGAGACCTTCCTTGTACAGTGCCCAATCAGACAGCAATTTACTGGCAGGTAAGTGTTATGGGAAGGACAGACTTAAAAACGTGCTGCTTGGCACAAGCCAGGAAACTGGTAAGAGGTCAGCTTCTCCTTTATCTGCAAATAAAATCAGAGCTAGGCTTCAAAGATTCAGGTTTCTGTATTTTCCTAAAGCCTCTCAGCAGAAATATTGACATCTTTTCAGGGCAGATTGTTCCATTGACTCATTATTCCTGTAGGGTCTTTTTTCCCCCCACCCATTTATTCCTGGTATCTACCCAAAACAGAGCAAAATATCAATAGACTATGGAGGTGAGAGGAGAAAAGCTGCGAGGTACAGCAAGGGGTGTAAAAATCAGCATGACTAGTATTTCTCACTTTGATAAGGAAGGCGCAACAAGTACTCTGAAGTAGAAATTGGCCCCTCCAATTCTTAGGTTTTTAATTAATGTTTTTGACTTGAAAAGTTTGTGTTTTTCAAATACTTTTTGGATGACTCTAGAAGCTTGCAAGTGGTGGCTTCACTCAGAAACCAAGCAAAACCAGTCTGTTTCTCATCTGTACCTATGTCATTGCTTTAATCATAATTTTCAGGGAGCTGCCAGAGGCCAATATCAAACCGTGGATTGTGGAAGTTTTGCACATCATTGTTTTCATGTTGTTTTGCTATTACACTGAGTTCACCAACCACAGTTATGACCATTACTCTATCTCAGGAATGAACTTACAAGGCTCAGTGGTGTGGAAGCGGGCAGCAAATGCAATGTGTGTTAAACCTAAGCTGATAATGGGATTTGTATTCCAGAAAATCTGTTGGTAACCAGACTGGGGAAGGCTGATTAAATGGAACAGTAAAATTCTGGGTTAGGCAGATTGTTACTGAATCACTATTAAGGTTATAATTAAAGTGAGATGTTGAATTTTATATATCGCTTCATCAAGCAAAGATATACACCTTTGGACTCGAAGGAGAGAGGTCAAAAATTGGGCTGGAAGTGATGGCCATAACTCATGTAGTTAGACTACAAGGAAGGCAGAAGACAATACCAGATTACACATTCCCAGTTTTCAAGCTTCCTGTCTAAAATACTTTCTTTGCCTGATGAAAAGATCTGTAGCATTAGCTTCCTTGATTTGTAGCTGTTCAGTGATACATTACAGGTATTGCCTAACCTAGAACTTTAATATGAATGTATCACATGGTCATTTTTTTTGTCTGTCTGACAACAGAAGGGGTGTATGACAACAGCACCATTACTTGATCTAAAAATGTGTTTGCTTTGATCACCTGAATTGGTGGGGTTTTGATCTGGGATGGTTGCCACTTGGACAATTCCAGTGTTGCCCTGCAGATTAGTTCCCGTTCTTTCTTCTCTCCTTAGGTAGCCCGGACATTTCACCTGGAGCCCACAACAGGAGCCAGCTTCCTCCCTTGTCCCCTGCCTTCCGCACAGGCAGTGACCCTGTCCTTCGAGCAAATGCCCCATTGTCTCAGCCCCTGGGAGAAGGCCTGACATTGAGTGGCTCTGAGGGGCGGCTCCACTCCAAAGCTCCACCCAAGCCTCTGAGGGCCCCATCCATGCTGGCAAGCGACTACTGCGAACTGGTTCCCAAGCCTCCTGAAGGCCCACGAAGCCACGTGGAGCGCCTGCGGACGGAGGAGAGGTCTCGGGCTCGGGCTCACATGACGGAGACGGCCTTTGGATTCCTAGATGCTGAGGACGTACCCTCTCCTCTTCCCCACTTGGCGGAGGCAGAGGAGGACTCAGGCTTTGAGAGGCCTCTACTGGAGACAGCTTCCTCCTTTCAGCCTCGGCACTTCCGTTCACTCCTCTTGGCCCCTGACAACAAGCCCCTGGAGCCCAGTACCCTCAAGCGCCTGAAGGATCTCTTTGCCCGGCACGATCATCAGGCAACAGCCCTCCACATTCTGCAGATGGACTGCCAGGTGAGGGTATTTGGGGACTGGCCTGAAACAACCGTTTACCTTAGAGCGATTCTTGTGACATACAGCTGACCCGGAGAAGGCCCAACACTAGCAGGTTTCCTTTGCTCTCCTTACCTGATTTTTGCCGCAGAGTGTGCTACCAGTTCACCTCTAACGTACTCTTAAAATCATAGAAGAATGGGCTTGTAAAGGGCCTACAATACCATTGAGTCCAACCCCCTTCTCAAGGCAGGAATTCAAATCAAAACAGAGCTGACAGAGGGTTGTCCAATTTTCTCTTGAATGTCTCCAGCCCTGGAGTGCTCACCACCTCCGAGATAATTGTGGTACTGGCTTTCCGTGAGACCATTATTACGTGCCCTGCACTCTGGCATGATTGAAAACAGATCCTGCCCCTTCTCTATATGTGACTTTCTTATAAGCATTTGAAAAGTGTGATTCTATCTCTCCCCCCCCCCATCTTCATTTTTCAAGGCTAAACATGCCTGGTTCTTTTGTGACTTTCTTTTAAGCATTTGAAAAGTGTGATTCTATCTCCCCGCCCCCCATCTTCTTTTTTCAAGGCTAAACATGCCTGGTTCTTTTAGTCTTTCTTCACAGGGCTTAGTTTCCAGTCCCCTGATCATCCTTGTTGCCCTCCTCTGAACTTGTTCCAGTTTGTTGGCATCTTATGTCTCCAGTCCTAGAGTGCTCACCACCTCCGAGGTAACTGTCGTACTGCTGTAACAATTAGGAAGCTTTTCCTGACAATCAACTGAGATCTGGCTTTCCGTGAGACCATTATTACGTGCCCTGCACTCTGGCATGGTTGAAAACAGATCCTGCCCCTCCTCTATATTGTGACTTTCTTTTAAGCATTTGAAAAGTGTGATTCTATCTCCCCGCCCCCCATCTTCTTTTTTCAAGGCTAAACATGCCTGGTTCTTTTAGTCTTTCTTCACAGGGCTTAGTTTCCAGTCCCCTGATCATCCTTGTTGCCCTCCTCTGAACTTGTTCCAGTTTGTTGGCATCTTTAAAGCGCAGTGTCCAGAACTAGACACGGTGATCAAGATGAGGCCTAACCAGTGCCGAATAGAGGAGAACTAGTACTTCATGGGATTTTGAGAGTATCCTTCTGTTAATGCATCCTAAATAGCATTGGCTTTTTTTGCAGCCACGTCGCACTGTTGGCTCGTATTCAGCTTGTGATCTACAACAATTCCAAGATTCTTCTCACTCACAGTATTACTGAGCCAAGTATTCCCCCATCTTGTAATTGCGTGCTTGGTTTTTCCCAAGTGCATATGCACTTATCCCTGTGACTCACTCTGTCTTCAACCCAGTAAAGCTTATTGAGTTCTTTTTGAATTTTGTTTCTGATCTCCAGAGTATTAGCTATTCTGTCCAATTTTGTTTTAAGCATTCTTTGCACCCCCTCATCCAAATCATTAATGAAAATATGGAAAAGCACCTGGCCCAGAACAGAGCGTTGTGGTGCCACTTGAGATTTCCTCCCAACTTCAGAGGGAGCCATTGATAAGCACTCCTGGAGTATGACCTAGGAATTTATTGGAAGGGCCACATTTGACAGAATTCGCTCCCAACAGGCATTAGAATAATTGAAATCTCCCATTATTACTACTTCATGTCTCTTTGAAATTCTTGCAATTTCTTTTTCAAAAGTTTCATCCGCATCTTCTCCTTGATTGAGCAGTTGATAGTAGATTCCAACTACCATGTTCTTTTTGTTGTGCTCTCGAGTCATGTTAATCCAAATGTTCTCAATGAGACAAGCAAGCTTGTCTTCCTGTATTTCTGTACACGAATATGTATTTTTGACGTTAAGTGCTTCTCCACTTCCCTTTCTATTTTGGTTCTTTTTGAACAATTTATATCGTTCAGTTGCTGTTTTCCAGTCACGCGAGTCATCCCACCAAGTTATCCCAAATAACATCATATTTATCCTCCTGAACAAGGATTTCCAGTTCTTGTTTGTTTCCCATACTCTTGGCGTTCATATATAAATACTGGAGATTGTGTGATTTGTGACCAGCTTTCCTTCCTACAATTTTATGAAGATTATCATTGAACCCCATTACAGCTGTTTGGTCACTTCCTCTTATTGTACATACACTTTTATCTATCTGTCTGTCTTTACCTCTGAGCTTGTGTCTCCCAATTTCAATTCAAAGATCTCCTGTTGTTCTTCATGCTGAACACATTTGTCCCAGTTTTTGCATTTGCCAGCAGTCCATCTTACAGGAAGCACAGCTTGTGATCCCAAAATCCAAATCCCTCATGTCAGCACCACCTTTATAGCCAATCATGATCTGGCAGCTCATGGTCCAAGCAGGGGCACGGGATGTCTCATTCAACCATTTTTTTCCCCAATGAGGTTGCTTACCCTTCATGGATCATAGGCCACTCTTGGTTTGGTGTGGCTTCTCCTTTTCTGCTGAATTCATTATTTTGAGGCTAAACCGCAGAAGCCTGTGCTGCAGGGTCAGAAGACCAAGCAGTCGTAAGATCGAATCCACGCGACGGAGTGAGCGCCCGTTGCTTGTCCCAGCTTCCGCCAACCTAGCGGTTCGAAAGCATGCAAATGCGAGTAGATAAATAGGGACCACCTCGGTGGGAAGGTAAGCCAAGCAAAGGCACGGGATGTCTCATTCAACCATTTTTCCCCCAATGAGGGAGCTTACCCTTCATGGATCACAGGCCACTCTTGGTTTGGTGTGGCTTCTCCTTTTCTGCTGAATTCATTATTTTGAGGTTACTACCATTTCCTACTTCTGTGTATACACTATCTCAAAAGCAGTGTAATGAAATTTGTCCACCTATAAAAATACAGGGGGGAAATGTTCACTCTTCTGAAATGCCACCAAAGTCCCTGATTTGATATGAAAATATCAGCTCTGGCAATATTCTTTTTGTGGGCGGGCTAGACATCTTGACAAAGTAGTTCTAGAGCCCATAAAAGCAAATGTCATATTTCTTAGAGTACCCAAAGGTCTTAGTTTTTGTTAAGACAGGCTGAAATGACTATCTTTCTTTTTGTCTACTCTGACAGCATAAGTGGTCTGGCTAAGAAACAACAATTATTAATTAAATAACTGAAATTTAGTTAGACTTTTAATGATACCAGTAAATCTGAAGGAAGACCATCTATAAAGGTGGCCCTCCTCCACTTATTGGTGAAACCTGCCCTGGTTAATAGGTTGTTGATCTTTTTGTAAACAACATTGTTGATATAGCTCTCTTGTATAGAGGGATGAGATGTAAGCCATTTCCAGAGCAAAGCTCATAGTTTATAAGGCATTTAAAAAAAAGAGTACAAGAACATTGTAGGAAACTTTGAAGCCAAAACTCCCATCCCTTCAACCCTCTTGATTGTTCTTGCACATATTTTCCACTGGTTCTCTGCTGAAGGAAAGTAAGCAGAAAATTTGTCATGATGGGATTAGAAAACATGGAGAACATTGGAACTTGAATTGTGTTGTGCTTTTGCACATGCACACCCCTTGCCCATGGAAAAAATACAGAGCACCATGTAGGCAAATTCCCATTTGCTCATTTCTAAATGGGGAAAAAAGATGTGATTGTAATCCTTTGCCATATTTGAGTAAACCCTTTGTTGCTCAAGACCTTCAATTCCTTCTTGTTCTGATGTCTTGGGGCAGGTTTCTAACATGTTAAAACAAACTTGTGACAGTGGTTTGCATTCTTGAGCGACCACCTGAACACTTTTGCTCCGTAGCAAGTACGAGCACCAGTAACAGACAACAGACTTCGTGACTGTAGGGCGAGCGTTGCACACAAGGGAAATTTCCTCATGGAGAGGGTGTGCAGGGTTAGAATCGGCTGCCTCCAGCTCTTGACCTTTCACCAAATGCCCCATCTGTCCTTCAGGCTATCAGAATTATTGGGGTATCCAAGGAACAGCAGAGGACCATGGGAGTGAGCTCTGGCCTGGAACTCATAACTTTACCTCAAGGGCATCAGCTGCGGAAGGACCTCCTGGAAAGGTATTGACTTCTGCTGATATGGGGCAAGACAGGGCTCCCTAGGAGGATGGTGGCCCTTCTAAGGGCAGCTGGAACTGCCTCCAGGAATCAGACGCCTGTGGCTGACGCAGCTGCCTCTTGAGCCAGTTTAACTCAGGAAACAGTGACGTTTGCTAAAGGATTTGCATAGAGGTGGACCTGAATTTCCCCTTGCTGAGTGTGTTTAAAAGTTTTTAAGAAACACTTGCTTTGGAACAGTTTGTAGTTCAGGAGCAGAAGACAAACGGTCACTTTCTGAGTGGTAACTTAGCAGGAGGCAGTATCCATGTATCTAACTGCTAGGTCACACACCTTAGCTTGCTCTGTGGCTAAATGTGGTGGAAGACTAAGGGACATGATCATCGTTGGTAATCTCAGGGGAAGGAGCATAATCCTCTGTGCATCCTGTTGAATCCTTACCAAGACCGAGATGCGGTTCTCTGCTGAAATGGCGCTCCAGATTCTGGGATGTGTATGCTGGCCAGTCAATGCTCTCCCTTGAGCGCCCCATCAAACGCCCTCCTTGCCATCTCAAAATTGCTTCCGAGTTTTTAAAGTTGCCGTCTTTACTTCCTGACCGGCCTTCTTGATCTAGTGCTGTGTAAAGGGGCCTGCCCCCACTTCAGGTTTCACCTTTTCCCCTGAATTCAATAGATAAAGCCGCTCCCATTTCTACTTCTGCAGTATGGGTGGCCCTATGACCGCCTTCCCTTGCCTGGTTGTTGCAACAATTACCATACTGATGTGAAGCATGCTCAAGGGCAGTATAAGAGTCTAAAACTGTTACGTATCTTATTGCCTAAATATAGAGTGGAAGGGAAATGGTCTAAGGGTCTCTACCCTATTGTGATTGTTCTAACACCGATTGTGAGATTAGTCATGCAGCAGGGAACCTGGTGGAACAAGAGAAAAACCTCTGTGGAAAAAACTTTTCTGCTCCATGTTTAGGCAACAGAACACTAACCTGTTAGCTGCGATGTGAGAAGATGTTGAGGCTAAATTGGAGAGAACTGTCACTTGGAGGAGATTTGCTTGGGAACCTAATACTTTTGTTTTAGCAACGCTGGGGCAAACCCATTTAGCACTGGCCAATAGGAGAGGGACTCTTAGTGTACATCCACTTTCATTCCTTGTAGCACAGCGCTCCCTGGTGATGAGGAGGTGGAACAGACAGCTTTCCATAGACTTTAGCCACAACCCCACACTGACCTGGCTTGCAAGTACTGCCATGGTATTGTGAGAGATAAGGGTGGGAGGTGGACTCTTCTCTTGTGAGTGCTTGAACAAGGTCCCCTAGAATGTTTGTGGTCTTGAGAATAGCTGCCATTTACGGTCATTCAGGATGTGTTTGTCCTCTTGTCTCAATCCTCAGGCACCACCTCATAGCCCTGGGCATTGCTGTGGACATTCTGGGCTGTACAGGGCCAGTGGCTGAGCGGGCAGCCACAGTGCACAAGATCATCCAGCTGGGTGTGGAACTGTGGAGGTCAGCAGGGGATCTCTTTGCCCTGTCTGCTGTGATGAAAGCCCTGCAGCTACCACAGGTGACCGATGGGAGTGATGGGGAAGGGAAGGAAGAATGTCTTCCTACAGGGGAAGCATCTTGGGCTAGCGGATGAGAGGTGTAGACTAGTATCAAATCATGGCTGTCATGGAACTGTTGGCTCAGAAGGGAGTATGGAGTAAACATTGGAGGAAGGTGGGTGCAGTGCATACATTCATCTGGGAGACAGGAGCTTGTCTGGGTTTGTTTTTGCCTGTAGTTGCTGCTGCTGCTCCTAAGCAGTGTATCTGCTGTGTAGCTCCTGCAGCGCTCAAGGCATTGCACTTGGACCTCACAGGAACTTAAGTGACCCCACTGTTCAGGATTTCTGTTTGTACTGCCAACTCATGTAGTCTTCCTTGTTGACTTAAATCAGGCCTTCTCAACTTGGCCTTTGGTATGGTATCCTACCACTCATTTCCAAATGCCGAGGAAGTTTTAAAAGAATGTGGGAGTGAGTCCTCTTGCTAAATTAGGCTGAAGATCCACCAAGTTCAGCAGTAGCCATGGGAAGCTGCTCAAGTATGCAATTATTAGTTTTGAGGGATCAGGCCTTGGGCTCCCTTCTACATCCCTTTGATTTTTTTCCATCCTCCCCCCCCCCCCAATCCTGTTTGGCAGTACTGATCAGCACTGCAGTAATTTTGGAAAAATTGGCATGGCTTACTAGCTGTATTTTTTACTTATGTTTTGTTAGCAACCTCGAGGACTTGTAGCTGACAGACAGGTGATAAATATTTTAAAGGTAGTGCTATTCCTAGCAGTAATTTTGGAAAAATTAGCATGGCTTACTAGCTGTGTTCTTTACTTATGTTTTGTTAGCAACCTCAAGGACTTGTAGCTGACAGACAGGTGGTAAATATTTTAAAGGTAGTGCTATTCCTAGTATCTGCCAAGAGTGGTATGCCTTCTCTAACAGGAGAGCTCTGTACTTGGCTGTAGTGACTCACAGCCATTGTATCTCAATGAAGTTGCTTAGGCACTAATTGGAGGGTGATTGCTTCTTTTGATCCTGAAGGGTCTAGTAAGAGAGCCCAAAATAAAGAGATCTTTCTGATTGTACTCTTAGAAAGTATCAGCCACACAGTGTCTGTTATATGCCTGATTGCAGCAAAGATTTATTTGCAGGAGTGGCAAACGATAGCCCTCCAGGCAACCCCCACTATTCTTGTCTACTGGGCCCCAGGTATCCCCCCCTCTCATTTATATTAGGTTACATTTTCTCCTCAGTGGTGCTCAAGTATCTTGCCAGACCAATTGTTATTTCTACGGCTGGAATTAGACTGGTTAATAAGTTTGTATTTCTCCCTATTTGTGCCTCTTTTATCCACTATAGATCATACGACTGGAACAGACATGGAAGCATCTGCGCCAAAACCACACGCAGAGTGCGATCATATTTGAGAAAGAGCTCAAACCTCTCATGGGACGCCTGAATCGGGCAGAAGGTGAGGTCTAGGTAGGCTTTGCAGTCACTTTGACTGCAGTGGGAAAAGTCAGTGAAGCAGATTAATTCACATAGTGATGTTGTTTCATGGGCTACATGTAGATCAAACTGGACTGCAGCTGCTGAGTGCATGCCGCCCTATGTTTGGTGATCTCCACATGGGAGGCTCCACAGCCTGAATCAGATTTTGGGGGCCACAACTTCTGTAGCTAGAAGAAGGCACTTTTAAATAATATGTTTGTATTTTTCCCGAGTTGTCTAAACACACATGGGAGAAATAAGTGTCTGGGAAGTGCATAAGGTCTGTGTTGACTGGCCATGTGTTGTTATAAAGTGGGAACTATGGGGTATTTTTCCTATTGTAGGTTAACACCCAAAGGAATATGAATCTCTGTCCTCATCTGAGAATTTACAGATAAGGCACTGTGGCTTTCCTATGGTACAGTAAAGCTATGATCCTGCATATTTACCTAGGAAACTGCTCATGCTAATTCAGACTGTTGGTCAATCCAACCTGGCTTCCTGGCAGAGCTTTCAAGTTACTTTATGTCACATATAAAAAGTAGCTGTGCTGACTGAGTGACACTGGGAATTTGTGTCAAAAGTTATTTCCAACTTCTGTAGCTGGGCTCCCCCCCCTCGAGATGCTAGAGTTTCTGCAGGCAAGACAGGTGCCCAATTGCTGAGCTACGGGCTTTTACCTGATGGTCTTTTATTTCTCCAGATCAGTTGCACGATGACCCCTGACAGTTCTATCTTTCCCCTACAGGAGATTCAGTGCCCACCCTGAAAGAAGTTGCAGTTCCCCATATCCTACCCCTCCTGTGCCTTATGGAAGGAGAAGAGCTGTGGGGCGACCAGGGGGAGACGTGCGATGTCCTTTTAAGAACACTGGAAGCTGCCCGCTTCATTGCTACCAATGCTGCTGCCTATCGAGTCAATGCAGAGGCTAAACTCCAAGGTACGATAGCTTCAGAGAGTCCTGCCAAGAGCAGAAAAGGTAATCTGCTCTCCAACAGCTGAGCCTGTTCCACCAGGCTACCTGTTGGCTTGAGGCTGGCTGCTTCTCTACTTGACTTTTTTTTAGTGTGCCAGATGTTGCTCACCACAAAGCCCCTGGGACAGCCTCATGTTCTTGGTCAGGGGTGTCAAACTCAAATTCATCGGGGGCCGCATCAGCAGTTTGGTCCCCATCAAAGGGCCGGGTTAACTTGAGCCATTTTTTAAATGAATTTACTCCGTGCAGGCACGGAGTAAATTCATTGAAAAAAAAAAGGGGGAGGCTGCAAGGCTGGCGGCGGCTCCGCGGGCCATCAGACGAGGTCTGGCGGGCCGGATTTGGCCCGCGGGCCTTGTGTTTGACACCCCTGTTCTTGGTTGTTCAGCAGGTCTGCCTAGAGGGAGACAGGTATTTTGTTGTTGTTCAAGAAGTGGGAGGCAGAAATTCTTGCCCATCCACCACAAATTACCATACAGTGGTTCCTCGCTTAGCGATTGCTTCGTTTAATGACAAAATTGCTTAGCGATGACTTTTTCGGAGCATTTTTACGCTTCGTTTAACTATGGTTCCTATGGGCGATTTTCACTTAGCGATGGTTGGGACCGTGCCTCGCATAGCGATTAATTTTGAGTCCCCTGTTTCGCTTAACGATGGTTTAAACAGCCTCATGTTTGCTGTTTTTTTAAATGTTTTTCTGTTATTTATAAAGTTAAAGTTTACTGTTTAAAATATTTGAAATCATAAAGTGCACTTAATAAAACCTGCTAACCAAATTTGACTTTGTTCTGACTCTTTTTAAATTTGTTATAGTATTTTCCCCCCATTGAGATGCATTGAATAGGTTTCAATGCATTTCAATTGGGGAACTGCGTTTCGCTTAGCGATGTTTCCTATGGCGATTTTCGCTTAAGGACAGCAATTCGTTCCTATTGGAACGGATTATCCGGTTTTCAATTCATTTCAATGGGAAACCGTGTTTCGCTTAGCAGCTATTTTTTTTGGAACCAATTAACATTGTTTAGCGAGGCACCACTGTATTTTTCTGTATATGAGACAATACTTTTGTCTAAAATATTTAGATTAAAAATTGAGGGTCGTCTTATACACTGGAGTAAAGAGGAGGGATCAAAGCACTTTGATTCCTGCTTCCCCCCTCCACTTTTGCGAAGAAATTTTGGATTAGAAAAGTGTTATTTTTCCATTTTATACACGGAAAAATACGGTATGCAGTGACCAACCTGTAGGTCTCAATCATTCTGCTCACCCCTGAAATAGCCACACTTTTGGAATGCAAAAGACAAATTGATAGTTTGTCTTAGCTGTAGGCCACATGGCACACATACACCGGAGTAAGCCACGGGCATGGTACAGGCATTTGTCTCCAAAGACCTTCCCCTTTTGGCTCCATGCGGAAGTCTGGCCCTTCATCCTTTGCCTCTCCATCAGCTACGTTAAGTTGCAGGCAAACTATCTCACCACTAGCCTCAATCCTGGCAATTTTGCTACCTTTCTGGCTCAAGGATTGGATGGCAAAACACAAGTTATAGAAGCCCACTTAGTTTTTTTTTTCCAGTGGCAGACATGGGATCAAATGGGAGAGATACTGTATTTGTTGACATGGAAACTTGTTGTTGCTTGTGAGGCCATTCTGCTCAGCAACAAAATTTTCTGGGGTTTGCTTTGCAGTCCTCTTCTTGCTCATGAAACTTTCTACAGCTGGGAATGTGTTAAACTGAAAAAAAGAATGAACTTTTTAAAATACTTTGGGTGGAAGTGCCATGTGTCATCAGTTCCAGGATCTTAGAATATGGAGCAAGGCAGGGTTTCTAATAGAGCCTTTGCTTTGATTCTGGAGCTAGTTTTTGTAAACATGTAGTAAAGTTTCACATTGAGTCATGGGTGATACATTGGAACCTGACCTAACTGCAGAGCTTGTGCTGTCTCCCCCCCCCCCACCGTTCCCACTTAGAGGATGATGTCTTATGGCTGTTTCAAAAGGATGATCGGTGGGGTCTTTGGAGCACGCAGTATTCCTATGGCTGTCTAGTGTCTGCAAGGTTATAATTCATTCTCACAGTTCATTGTTTATGCTTCTTTTTCATCTCTGTTCTGTCCATATAGGGTTCCAGGCCACCCCGGAGCTGCTGGAAGCATTCCAGACAGAATTCTCTCTTCAGTTATTCTGGGGCAGTAAAGGAGCAGAGGCTGACCAGGCTGAGAGATACAGCAAGTTTGAACGGATTCTGACTGTTCTCTCCCAGAAACTAGAATGAGCCGCCCGTGGGGAAAGAGTTTTGTATTTCTGCTGTGCCGGCCAGGGGCAAGAAAGAGGAATTGTGGAAGCAAAGGCAAGAGCCAACCACCACCACCACCACCACCAGGAGATGCTCAGTGAGCTGAATCCAGGGGATTCCCAGGGGTTGAATGGCACAAAGGGCACAGTCTGCAAGGAGCTGAAACTCATCAGTTGGACACAGACTCCAAAGAGAAGACAAATGGTGGCCTTTCTGTAGCGGCCTTTTAAGGTGGCACCTTTTCACTTTGGCAGTACATGCACCCTATGGAAAGCAAATAGTGTTGAAGAAAGGAATGGGCGGCCTTTTGTTAATTATGTGGTTTTGAAGGTACCTCTTCTCTTTGTACCAGGCAAAGATAAGAAATTTCGCAGACAAGAATTACAGATAGAGGCTAAAACCCAGGAAGTTACCACTTTCAAGATCATTAGCTATGCTGCCACTCAGTACATGTTTATTGGTATCTATGTTTTGCAGTTGTGAAATGGATTGCAAGCTTACAGAAGGTGGCTGGGACCCTCTATGACAAGAGGAGAAGAGAGGTGATTAGTTTTAATATGTGAAAGTGCATCTTATACTGAAATAAGTTGTTGTTACATGCCAGTAACTTGTCTCTGACTTACGGTAACACTATGAATGAGAGTTAAATGAGTCTGAATAAAAAAGGGATAGGTGATGCTGTGAAAACTCATCTTAGGGATAGGGAATGAGAGCAGGCTTGCAAGAGTGTTCTTGTTTTCCACTAGAAACCTAAAGTCCCTTACTTGGATCACAGAACAAAACAGCAGCTTAAGAGGACAAAGAACAGCAAAACCCAATGTGTCTAAACACTGTCCTGGTGTTGCTTTCAACACTCAAAGTGAGTTGTGTACAGAAATTTGTATGTTCTCTCCATTGCTGCTTTCTTCTTTCAGCAGCATAAATGAGGAAGAAAAGAAGGGATTGTTTATCTTCTGAACTACTGGAAGTCAGACGTCCTTGCTGATAATAATGACCAGCCTGATGAAGGCTCCTGCAGGAATCAAAAGTTAGGTTCTATTTGTAGTGGCCTAATAAAGATATCGACCATCCTTGTCTTCAGATTGTGTAGAAACACACAGTTTTTTCCCCCTTCCTTTTGCTGGACAGTAGAAGATACCATGACTAGCCTACAAGAATAGAATCTGCAACCAAGCAAGGTAATTTAACACTGCTGTAGCAGGATTGCAAACAGGAGTATGTTATCTTCCTTTCACCACTGGGTAATATGTTTAATTTGGCTACTAAACTAGTTTTATCCCACTTTCTCTCGTATGAGGTTTGCAGTGTGCCTCTGTTCCCCAGGAAAAAAGCAACCATGTATTTTTGATATAAGGCAATGGGGGGGGGGGTTTGGCTGGCCCAATTGTAACTAGGACAAGCAGCACGTTGTAATCTTCTTGCTTATACAGTAGAGAACGCAAGTGGCTCCCCTGCTCTACTCAGTAGTGTAAGAAGGAACTGAAGTTACACCTAGGCTTGGTGATAAATTCACAAAGCTATGCAAAGGAAACCTCCCTTCCCCTCGCCTCTCACAGTTGTAACCCATAAAAGACCCTTGAGAATGGTAATACAGGAGAAGCCTATGTAGGAGCCCCTTTTGTGGCAGGAAATGGCAGGCTACTTCACACGGCAGTGATGGGACAGTGTGCAAGCGGAGCGGAAGGTAGCACTTGCCATTCTCAGCAGCAAGGCATCAAAGGCCAGTGCTTGGCGTTTGTGTGTGTCTAACAGAAGAGAGTCTTCGCTCTTTTTCTCACTGCAGGCAGTCCAAACCTGTTTTGAACTAACCTTCCTAGACTATTTTTTCTTTTTGTTGTTGTTGTCACAGAGTGAGCACTGGGCTGCCTGACACACCTGATTCTCAAAAGCAACGGGATACTCCTTGTTAAGATGTTTTCTCTTTAGTTAAAGATTAAGCAATCAGGGCTGGCTCCAGACCTTCCCCCTGCCCCCCCCCCCAATCATTGCTCTGCAGAGGGTTAAAAGGCACTGTAACCACAGCCTCTGGACCTGCGCTTTTTGTTCCTGGGGTGGTGAAAGTAGGGCTTTGCTCTATTTGGCTTGCTTTATACTCCGTTGCCTCCAGCCCAACCAAGCACGTTTTGTTTACAAACAGCAGGGGTGATCCGAGCCCAGATGGGCTGTTGGCCTTGCTTCCTGGCAGTGGGAGAGTGTATGGAGTGTGAACAAAGGGAGCAGGTGAGGCTCCTTTTAAGATCCCTAATGATTATATAGTCATTGTAGTCTAGTATTTTTATAAACTTCTTTTTTAAAAAAAAACAATACTTGGAGGCCAGAGAAACAAAAACACTAGCTATACAGGCACCCACAAGGTTTTTTTTTTGTCTACTATTTACATAAAGTGTAAAAAGGCACCTGAAAATACATTCTACATCCCAAGAGAGAGAAAGAGAAAGTGCGGCTCAGCACCCTCCCCCCTTTTTCTGCTCATCAAAGCATGGAGAAATTAGAGCCAGGGACATTATTGTTTACAGATTATGTGAATAAACAAGCTAAACTGAATGGTAAAATAAATTGGTCACTGTATAAAAAGGATAATTCATTAGCATCCTCTTCTCTCTCTCTCTTTTAAAAAATTACCACACAAAAATATGCAGATGGAGGGGGTAGGAATAGGAGACTGCCAGGACACCTGACTTTCCTGAGAGCAAGGGCTCCCATGGGAAAGGAAAAACTTCATAGAGCAGGCACTTTTAGGTGGCTGAGTTGGCCAGGCTGATCAGATCCAGGAAAAATAAAGTGCATTTCAGGGGGAAAATATCTGGATGTTGGTTTGCTCTCAGTGACTTTTGGCTTGCTCTAGGCTCAGAGCTCCTCTCAGATGGCAATCTCACTTAACCTGATGCAGTAATGACAGCCGATTGGCCTGCCATGCAAAATTCCTACTTTATTTTTCCTTTCCCCACTCACTTTCTCTCTCTCTCTCACACACACACACACAAGCACACAGACAAAAAGGAATGCCAAAAGGCAGGCATAGCAGCAGTGGTGAGGGGGTAAAAGTTAGGCTTTCAGACACAGCCCTTTTATCACTCATACTAAGCATTTAAGCATACACACACAGACACACCCCTCTACTTGCAGACACAGTCGAATAAATGCAGCATAAAGCAGCTATTGGTATTTACGAGAGATCGTTCTGCTCTGATCAACCTGACTGAGCCCAGGGGTGGGGGTTAAGGGCGGGGAAACACTGCCAACACACCAGGAGGACAGGGGAGAGGGCAGGGTATGTGTCTGCCTTTCTGCAAGTGCAGCTGAGAGAGAGAAAACTAGGCACCACAGAAGTCTCACCTGCTACGAGCAGCCAACCCAACCGAGATGCAGGAAATGAGGAGTCCTTCCTTTATGCAAAACTGCCACTATTTCCATGGATGAGAGAGGGAGTGGTGCTCTTCAACTCTCCCTGCCTGGGCACTGCACCTTTCACCAGGGGGGTAATAATGTGGCTTATACCTGCCCTGAAGGCAAGGTGGAGGGGGTAGGTGGGAGAGAGTGATCATGACTGGTTGGGTGCATAAGCATGAGGAGGCCCATCTCTCTCTCTCTCTCTTGCGGTCTTATTGTGGTAAGTAGGCTCCAGCCACCTTTTTTTCTATTCAATAAAACTAATCTCTCACAGCTCTGCAGTAGTGATTTGGCAGGAGATGCCTTCCTTTCTACAGGTCCTCCTGTGTAGAGCAGGCATCATGGAGTTCTTCTCTGTCCACTGAAACATCTCACTTCTTCCACTCATGCCCTGATGGTGCCCAGTAGTTTCCAAGCTGCTGCTCTTGAGATGCTAAAACCCATCTTGCTCAATTTACACTGACACGCAGGTAGGAGGTAGGGACGTAGCCCTCGCCTCCTTTACTTCGCCGCACACGTGTCCACCCATCGCCCTTATCTTCCTCCATCAAGCTGAGCTCTTCGCCCTCCAGCATGGAGATGGTGCCCTCGCTGGAACCTGGGGAAGAACACAAGCAAGCTCACACGTGAGCCGAGGCCAAAGGCAACTAGAAGGTGCAGTTGTCTGCAACCAGACAGTAGCAAGAAACATCCAAGCAAGTGATAGTCATGGCAGGAGTTGAGGGTAAAGGACAGTGGCAGCAAACTAGAATTCATTCATAGTCTGGTCCTGCAGATGACAAGTAACCGAAGCTCATGGGCAGATCAAGCACAATGTATGTAAATGTTTTTTTTTTTTTAAATTGCCTCCATCCCCTATTCTTGTCAATGGTCCCATCAACAGGGATGCCCTGCAGAGCACTAGGGAGACTGCACAGGGTTTGCTTCGCTGTCCCTTGCAACTGAAAGATCAGCAGTACGCTAGCACAGGTACCAATATGGTGTCAACTTCCCACTTACAAAAGAATTGGAAGCACAGCTCCAGAAGGGGAGACCCATCAAGCTAAACCATTTCTGGTGGCCCAGGTTGCCATTCAAAAACTATATTTATGGGGGCCTTGGGTCTGAGTGTTTTCCTTTTCATAGCTGCAAGTGACCCCACCCTCATCACTTCCAGAATTTGAGATGAGATGGTGTGAGCCACTTAGGTCCGGTCAGATGCTGCACCCAAACCTTTTGGGATCATCCACACTTGCTTTCAGAAGACAGAACTGTTTGTATGTATGCAGCATCTGCAGAAGTGCAGGAAAAGCACAGAATTCTGCTTCATAAAAACTTAATATTTTACTCCATAAAGCAGATTCCTGCCCAGATGGCTACAAACTATATGCTTAAGAAATACCCAGGGTACGAACCGTCTTCTCAGTAATGCCTGAAGCTGCAGCACTGTTGACCAGATATAACTAAACCCTTGAGCAGAAAAGTAATGGGATCCTCAGAGCGTAAGGGACATTTTTATGTGTGGCCAATGTCCCCTGAAGCCTAAGAAGCAGCCAGATAAGTTATCAAATATTCTAAGAAGTGAAAGGTGGTTGCTTGAAGTGGCTAAAATGATCTATTTTGGGGTAAATGTAATGGAAAAGAAAAGAGATCTATGTAGAGCTGCTTTGCAAAAGGTGTAGGGTTGGGCAAGAATCTCTCTCCTATGAATAACATCCTTGACACAGGGTACTGTTTATTCATTAGGTGCAGTGAGAGTTACACAAGCAGAAGCCATAGAAAAAGAAAATTCATCTCTACACTACTTTTCTCTCCCATGCCTCACCTTCCTGAGGAAAGGCATGTGGAACAAACCTAATCCACCCCAACCGCCTGCATTTTTCCCCAACCACCAGCACTCCACGCTAGCAGAACAGAAACAAGTTTCTACTTGCTCCTAACAAATCAAAACAAACGCAATAGTTAGGGAACCTTACTAAGTATGTACCTTCAAACTGGTACAGGGCCACGCAGGTACCAACAGGTGAAGCCAAATCCTCCTCAAAGTCTTCATCAAACTCTGTGTAGATGGGCTGGTTGAGAGTGTCCTGGCTCTCGTCAGACTGGGTCGTGTCAGGGCTGTAATAAGGATAAATGACCAGTTGCGGAATGGAACAAGACCGATTCTACCTTCAGCGCTGAAACTGAAGTTGGCATAAGAAAGTCAAGACTGCTGGGGCTCCATGCAGGACTTTCAGTGAGAAACATTTCTCCAGGCCAAAACATTCTTCTGCTCAGAGCTGAGAGCATTAACAACAGCTGTCATCAATTCCCTAACTCTTTATACACCAAAAGAATAAACACATTACAAAAGACAGCAGCCAAAGAAGCAAGCCAAACCATGCACCTGCTTGCCAGTTTGGCCACTGAGAAAAATCACTTCACCTGGGAAGATCAAATATTTGCAAGCAATACAACAGAATGTGAACATACACTACTGCCTACTGCAAATAGGTCACTGTTCTTATATATATACTGTCTGTTGCAATGTGTGACAGATTCATTACCACCCACGATCCCAGTTGCTGGGAGTTGCAGTCTAATGATGTTTGGAAAGTTTGGTTGAAATGCCCTAATAATCTGCAACTAGAGTAGATTTGAAGCAATGAAGTTTACAGAGGAAATTGACTCATCAAATCCTCATTGGTTTAATGGGCATACTCTAGTTGTGACTTCCTACTGGATTTCAGTCATTGTGTACCTCTGATCTAGAAGGAACAGTGATCTTTTTGTATTCAGTAGCACTTCAGTGTAAGAATAGCACTGGGCAATGAGGCTTGGATCTGGAAGAGGCTCCAAGAGAATGTCCTGGATGGTTTCCCCAAGGCAAGGCCTGGGGCAACATCATCCTGCTATGTACTGTAGGTGGGCAGTGCTTCAGAACTATGTAAACAAACACATAGGCACTTTCTACTGAGTCCCTCTCCCAACCTTAACATTCAAGATTTAGGTCTACTTGCCCTCCTGAAGTAACTGTTTAGGGAAAAAAACCTATCACGGGGATGAAAATCTACAACCTGAACATGTTGTAGCAAAATGTTTTTTAAAAAGTCTTACAACATGTGTCTATCTGGCCTCCAAGGCAACTTTCATCTCTTTTTCTCTAGCTAGATGAATGACTGAACCCATGCAACTCATGCTACTTCCAGCCAAGGAAAGGGTATGTCATCAGCACAGAGACTCATCCAAGGGTGATCATGGAACAGTCATAGCTAGTCCAGCTTCTGTATTCCACACAACTCTCACCTGTCCTTTTCATGAGAACAGTTGTTATTGTTCACAGCGCTGGCATGGTCCAAGTGACGGGTGTAACGGGTGACCGTATCAGGACGATTACTCAGCATCCTGTTCTCTGCATCTGCCAACCAAGCCTAGATCGAGCCCAAAACACGGATGTGAGCTGAAGGCACAGTATCCATCTAACAAGTTATTTATCAAGGCTGCCTGCTCTGGTTGTCCAATTTGTCCTGCAGCTGATAATCTTGCTGCATAATGAATGGAAAAGAAAATGGTTCCGACTTTCCCTATGATTAATCACTCCCCTGATCTAACCACGTGGCAGCCACGACCACCTGAATGTTTCAGGGAGGGAAAGGTTACAATTTCGTTGGCATTCCTCCAAGCCTAAGATGTGATGAAACGTTAAAGCACCTCTCATTCTGACTTGGAGCGTCCTGAGTGACTCTGTGCTAAGTATGAACAGTGCAAGCACTTGGGACAATGAGTGAGCGCATGGAATGGGAAATGTGCAGCCCTCCTTAGTGCTCGTTCGCATTTGTACGTTGTTGGGACTGCTACGCTCTTCACCTTACAGGTGACTACAGCCGAAGGGAGTGGCAGTCTGACAACACAAGAAAGACCACATGTTCCTTAATCCTGGCTTAAATGCAGCACTCTATTCAAAATCTTATTTCAAGTGCAAATTTACTAGGTCAGTCCTGTTCCAGAGGTAACTGAAAGAAATTAGCGTAAGGAAAATATTTAATAAGGGACAGAAGTATTTGCTACCTTAGCAGAAACTTGATGGCCAAACTGATGTACAGAAACAAAATTATACCTACCTTAAAACTTTGAGGGAACAGAACATAAAATAAAACTGGCATGATACTGTGTGTCTGTATGCATATGCATGCATATTACAACCTGGAGTTAATAAGATAATCTTATCAATAAAGGAATAATAATGTTGTTTTAGAAGGTAATGGGACGAACTTTATCGTCACCATTCTCATGGTAACGAGGAACCACGAGTTGTCCTTACCTTTTGGCCTTAATGTAGAGAATGGCAGGAAATGTGTCTTTTCTGCTTCTCCACACTTAAACAGAACTTTGAGGGAACAGAACATAAAACTGGCATGATACTGTGTGTCTATATGCATATGCATGAATATTACAACCTGGAGTTAATAAGATAATCTTATCAATAAAGGAATAATAATGTTGTTTTAGAAGGTAATGGGACTAACTTTATCGTCACCATTCTTGTGGTAACGAGGAACCACGAGTTGTCCTTACCTTTTGATCTTAATGTAGAGAATGGCAGGAAATATGTGTCTTTTCTGCTTCTCCACACTTAAACAAAGGTCCTGAATGGCACCCTGTATTGGTGCCATTTTAAACCCCATGTCATTTTATTCAGGAAGCAGTGCTTTAGGAATCATGAAATCCAAAGTTCAAAATCTACAGGTAGGTTAATAGGATCAACTGTAAATGGACAAAACGTACAAGTCTTCAAATTCTATAGAACTCTTTATGAAGCTTTGTTGTTATGTGCTGTCAAATTGCATCTGATTTATGGTGATCTTAACTGGGTTTTCAAAGTGTGTAAGATATTTAAGGAGTAGTTTTACCTATACCACCACACCCAATAAGTTTCCACTGCTGAACGGGAATTCGAACTCAAGTTTTTTGAGTCTTAGTCTGTCACTCTATTCACTATACTGCACTGGCAGCTTTCTTTATCAAGCTACATGCTAAAAAACCAGAAAAGGCATGAAAAGACCAAGTGCTCTGCACCATGGGGAACTGCAAACAAATTCCCAGGTTGGAAAATGGGCCTTGATGAATCAGAGAGTATCACATGGTTTCTGGCGAGGCACACGGGAGAACAGGACAACATCAAAATCCCCCTTCTCTTGAAAAACAAAGATACCAGGAAAGAGCATCTGAATTAGCCACAGATGAAACACACAGGTACCTTTTGTAGGCGTTCATATTACAGTACAATGTCTGGATGTTGATTTACTCTCACGGATCAAGGTAGCCTCACCCTTTTGCTATTGTTTGGCAACAACAAGGATGCATGAATGGGAACTGCCTACACTTCCTGTAGCGACTAGAGAGTAAGATGACATGGATTTTGTCACGGAAGCAGCATCATTCAGGGCCCCAAGCTGCTCTGAGCAGCACAAAACTCCCCGTTTAGCAGTTAAAAACAGAGCAGGCCTTCCTGCTACCTACATACTCATCAGCAGCGTTTAGCTGATCAGTAATTATAATTTTAGATAGCGGTACCATTCCACGCTCTGATAGTGAGCATGTACCCAGTGCACTGAAGGTGAAGAAAAAGTGCAGTGTAATTCTGTGTAGATAGTGTAACTGCTAATCATCGGAATTATGAGATGGTCTCATAGAGAGACAACCTTGATGGGGGAGGCAGCCTTGTGTCAGCAGCCACACCACGGATATGGCCAGGATGCCGGGTTAACAGCAAAGGGAGACACACCTGAAAATTGCAAGGGGGTTGGTCTGTGCATCCCTCCCATCCCCAGCTCTTACTTCACATTTCTGGATTTCTAGACGCAGCCTTTCAATGTTGCCCAATGTCTCTGAGATTTTTGGCTCAAGACTAGCGGGGTCTCCCATCTGAGGCGTCTTCTGATAAACATCTTTCATCTTATTTAAGGCATCCCTGGAAGAAGAAAGGCAAGCAAGAGCTGGTTACTGGGACAAGGCTTTGGGAATTGCTGGGGTATCAGGAAAGTTGATGTCTGCAACCTAGAGCATTCGAAGGGGAGGGGGCACATATTAATACCCTCAAACCCACAATAAATAATGCTGGTTGCCTGGCTAGGTTTCCTGTCCCAAGAGCAGGTCAGCGGAAGCCTTTTGTTCCCCCAAATGCAAATTGCTTAGGGAAGAGTCCTGCAGCATTTGAAACATCAAAACACTCATTACAGCATCAGGATCTGTGCTAGAATACACAGCATCATGTGTAATCCTAAATGAAATCCACTAGGATAAAAAAGAAATAAAATGCAGACAAACCCTTCCAACCAGCTTCCAAGGGGGGCACTGACAAGATACCCCATTTCAATTTCTTACCTCTGGTCTATCTCTTTCTGTAACTCCCGATTCCTCTCTTCTATTTTCTGCTGGAGTTTTTTCCTCCTCTGCTCCGGAGGCAAGTGGCTGAAGTCTTCTGTGATCACAGTCTGGCAGGAAGAAAAGAGAACGTATCTGAATTTCCTCTGTGTTCCTCATGGAGACTTTTCTGCTTTGCCCTACTGATGATCCTAAGTGCAGCTCCAGCAGGCTACTACCTATCACCCTAATCTGGCCACCAAGAAAAAGTGAATCGAGACATGCCACTTTCCGTAGTCTAAGGCTACAGATTAATGATGCCCAGTAGCAGGCAGTGATATTCTCAAGCCGTGCAACTGATATGGTGAAGAGATCTTGTGTGCCAACCCAATTCTGAGTATGTACCTGGATATAAATAAACAAATAGTTAAATAGTTGAATAAGGACTCCAAACATTATTGCAGCAGTCCTTATAATCTGGACAAGGAATGAACTTGTAGCATTTCTTTATGTGAAAAGCAGCTGGAGGATTCTGATTGGAAAAGTGGCCCACTAGGAAAGAATTAAACATGCCTCCACCCCCACCCCCCGTATGATCTTTAAGCTCTTGCATTCCGTAGCTGCTTTGGCTGAAAGGCAATCCTCATGTGACAGAGCATCATGTAGTTCGACCCTAGGTGCTAGATTTTAACTGGAGACTCCCAAGCACAGAACACTAAGGGGAGACACTTCAGCGGCACACTTTTGCACGTCAGCAGTGTCAGACTCAGAACAGCAGGGCAGGGCTAAGAGGCTGTGCCCACCCGTCCTTACACTGGTCAGCAAAGACACCTTGTACCTAACTAGAGAATCCTTTCAGTCATCGGACCCTGGCAAGGACCTATCAGCAGGAGATAGCTCAGGTTTCAGGTCTGATAATCAAATCACTCCTGGCCTAAAGGTAGTCAGTGATCTGCGCAACACTAAGTTGTGGGTTGATGAGCAAAAAGGTTTTGCAGATCAATGCAATGTGGAGCATCGTGTTTCATGTTCTTCTGCTTCCTCTGAAATACACGGGCCAGCTTTGTATTTCCTGTGAACAGAAGATAATGATATGTATGTACAGCTCTGTAGTCTCCACGGCTGCCGTCTCCTTCTGCCCTTGGAATAAAATGGCATGGGAGCACATGCTGCTAGTCCTGTTGCCTCCCCCACCTGGCACACAAGGGGAAGCTAGATGTGTGAGCCTGTGCTCACTTGAGAGATGTGGTCGAGAGTGCTTTGGCCAGCCCTGAGTGGATTTCCATTGCAACTTCCAAGTGGGTTGTTATATTTGCGCTAGAGGGTCGTGGAGATCTATAGTTTCAAGCTCTGAAAAGTCCAGCTTCTTGCATGAAGGGCCTTTGTGCAAGTAGAAGGGGTTCACAGGATTCGGGCCATGATCCTTAGGGCTTCACTGTGGTTGGTAGTGCAAAAAACTCTAACATTAAGTCATTTTGGCCATAACTAGGGCTGAGTGTGAAGGATAACTGTTTCGCTACAGGACAGGTTTGGGCTCAGTGGGATGAATTGTGATGTGCTGTTTACTACGCAAGGACCGTCTCTCACAGCACATGCTTTGCTCCTTTTGTGGCACAAACATGGCCTCGACGTGGCTGGTTTTCTTGCTTCAGGCAGGGAGTAGGGTTGGAAGGCTACCTTCTGATTCCTCACCGCCACAAAAAGTTTTATGAGTTCCCAAATAAAAGGCATCTTATTTGGGAGTGAAATGCACAGTTCCCAAAGAAATACTGTGACAAAGCCTTCTTCCAACAGCGATTCAGAAATGCTTTGGGTTTCCGGGAATAGTGGTACAAAACTTCTACAAGTTTATAATGTACAGGTGTACAAAATCTCAAGTATGCAAAATCTAGGATTCTGACTATCCATTCAGACTAATTATTATTATGGTCTGTGCAGAAAAGGGTGGGAGCTGAAGGAGGTGGAGGTACAACTGCATAGTAGCAAGTTCACATCTGAGGCAGTTCTCTCCAGTCCTCCCCTGTGTGGTTATCCAAATGTCATTCTGAACTAATTTTGCAGTCTGAAATGTTCTGTATTCAAGTATATTGCCAAACATGACTGCTTTCAAAACAAACATGAGAGGGCTCTAACCTATGTTATTTTTAAAAAAAACTTATTGGCACCAAAACCACAACTGATTTGCTCCTTGGCAGGCAGGCAGGCAGGCAGGCGCTTTTGGGAACAGCAGATATATGACGCTGATTTAGCAAACAAAAATTATCCACTTACCCCCCGTTTGAGACTGCGGAAGGACGTGATGCGGGGTTTGACTGTCTTATTGATCTCGTTCAAACAGTAAGACAGGGGGTCACGGGTGAATTTGGGAGATGGAGGTCCATTGATGGAAGATGAAGAAGGGGAAGATGAGGGGCAATTTAAGGGGGACAGGGGAGGGGGCGGGAGCTAGCGACAGACAAGGGCCATGAACAAGAAATGAAAACACACACAAAAGAATGGGAAAAAAAAACACCGTAAGAAAATAAAAAGGTACACACACACACATACACAAACCCCAAAGAGGAAAATTACAGTACATTCCATCTATACTGTACACGTTTACAATGCAGAGCAATATTTGGCTACTTTGTTTGCTTGTAACCGTTTGCCCTAAGTAGCAGTGGCTAAATTCACTTCTTATACTGGCTACTACGGCTACTTCATGCACTTGAAAAGGCAATATGGTATACTCAATATAACAGGAATGCACTGTAATAAAAAAAACCAAGACCACACAGGGAAGAGGGCAGGAGGCAACAGCACAAAATGCAGAGCAACACCTCACTGGTAAGGCGCAGATACAAGACAGAAGAAAAGAGTCAAGCCAAGACACAGAATGGACTGTCCATGTGGGCGCAAGCCTTCCCATATGGCCTAGAAGCCCCAGAGCCACCCACCTCTGAAATTCCTGGAACCACCATTTTGGAGGCTGAGGAGAAAGGATGAAGTGGCCCTAAATGTCAGTGCCAAAGGAGGTGTGGGTTTGAAGGGAGAGGGGTCAAGTCCGTGGTGAGACTGGAGCCGAGGCTTCAGAAGAACAGACTATCCTGCGGAGAGCAAGAGCCATCATTTCCTCATCCCTCTTGCTCTCTTACCTCTCCATTTGACACAGTCCACCCCTATTGGCCTTTCCCTTCAAAACGGTGCCCTAGAAAGAACTTGGAAATCATTTGTGTTTTTAAAAAAGCGATTCCTTATGTCAATTAATTACCACTTGCAGAAACCATTTACAACTACTGATTATTTTAATAATTACATACAGTACAGTCAAAGTTACTCTTTAATAACCATGAACATTTCTCATCATCTGTTAGTGTTTTTGAAAAGTGTTCAGAAACGGGGGAGCCATGTCTTTCTTACGGCAGCGCCAGTGGCTCCCGGTCTGTTTCTGGGCACAACTCAGAAGGGGCTGCTTATGACCTACAAAGACCTCCACAACTGGCAATCTGGCTTTTTTGGGGGAGGCCTTTCTTTCAGGTGCTGCAACGTTTTTAGGCATGGTTGGTGGGATGAGATGTTTGGTGGCTGCTGTCAGGCTCCGGGATTCCCACCAAGAAAGTTTTCCTCCCCTAGCCAGCAAAAGCATTCTTCTTCAAACAGTTCTGAATAAGTACAGGTCAGAATCTGACAGGTTAGTCATACCTGTATAAGTGCAATGGAATAAATGACAGTGGCGAACTCCACGTTGCCACTTTATTATGCACCAGATCCCAAGACTGATACATGACGAGAGATATAGAAGAAAAAAACATGTTAGCCAGCTGCAGCTTACTACTGCAATTTGCACCATTACACTTAAGCCAGTGTAATTAACCAATAGGAATTTGGTACTTAGTGCAATGTTTTTCTTCATTAATTAAGGCATTCTAATTGCATAGACCAGTCTTTTTGTAAATTCATAGATTTCAGAAAGGGAGTGTCAATTAAGGAAGGAGCAGTCTGACTACCAATAGGAAGGAGAATCAGAGCTTGGAAAAATGACTTTTTTGGAGTACAGCTCCCAGAATACAACCGTGGGGCATCTAGCAAAGCAGAGGAGAGCAAAGCAAAGGCAAAAGTGAAAAACAACACTTTCCCTAGCTCTGCTGGTGGCTCGGCACAGCTTATGAGCAGCCCATAAATATAAGCAGCAAAAAACAAATAGAGGCCATCATATCTTTCAGTGTATTTCACCTGCAGGAATGGACTTCAGCAAGTTGTTTCTGAGAAAGACCTAGAAAATGGCTAGAGCTCTTATTTCTTTAAAACCTGCGCATATCCACAGACAAGCAAGAAGAAAAGCGCAGCAAGCTTACAAATATCCAAAGGCTGAGAAACAACGCAGCAGACATGGAAAAAAATATGCAGTATGAAAAAGTGATGAAAGCAAACGACAGGCCAGCAACAGAAGTCAGCCAAGGCAGCCAAGTCTGGCACTGTTATGATGTCTGCATGGTAGGATATATAAGGCCCATGGGATTGAGGGGCAAAAATACAGCCCAGAGCAAACATCAAAGGAGCTGGAGAGCAGGACAAAATTCAGGGGGGAAAAGCAGGTGCCTGGAACATTCAATATTTTGTGGCAGGTGACTGGGTGGAAGAAAAAGGAATACAGGGGAAGGGAGGATACCTTTGCTAAAATGGACCTTCCACTGTAATTTATCCTGTGCACAACTACAAAAGGGGTTGCTTGGGTAAACTAGTAGGAAAAGCAAGGACTCATTGAAGCAAATCTTGGACCTCTGCCATTGCCCATTCCACAATGTAAATAGAGAGGTCAAGTAGTGATTGCAGAAAAAAATAAAACCTGCCCTTGATTGACAGCTACAGCTGGGGACTATATCTTAGATTAGCAGGTTTGGGAGGTGGGGCAGAAGATCCAGGGCTTCTATGGTGGCAGGGATCTGGATGAGGTGAAGGGCAGAAGTCTGTCCTGACCACTGGTTGCAGAGGGGAGTGACCTTTCTGCCATGGCCCTTTCATGGCGGACACAAATCCCAAAAGTTATTCTGATACAAACTTATGTTCTTGGGAAGCACAAGATCAGCCCGAAATGTTACAGGAGAAAGCTTTGTCATGAGGACTAGTATAAGCAGCCAGAAAGGAGGGAGGAGGCAGCAAGAGACCAAATGAAAATGACAAAAGCTGTTCTCTGCTATCTTGCATATAGTTCTGCTTTCTAGCTGGGCAAAGTGACTCGGTGATCTAGGGATGGACAGCTGTAGTGGGATTACGGCAAATCCATGCCATATTGCACTAAAACATCTGCTGAAGATCCAGGACTCCTAAGAGGTGCTAAGCCCTAGGGCAGCAATGAACACAACAGCTTACCCACTACCCTTCTCACTCCTCTCCAACTGCAGCCAGAGCGAGCAAGAGAACTTAGTACGTAGCTCTGGGGATCCTGGAAACAGAAAGAGAAGGAAGAGAGAAGCTACCACCCCCCTCTTCCTTCAGGAAATAGCCAGCCCTTGATGAGAGCCCTCACCTTGTTCTTCCTGCTGAAGGGCAGCCATATTGCACTAAAACGTCTGCTGAAGATCCAGGGCTCCTAAGAGGTGCCAAGCCCTGGGGCAGCAATGAACACAACAGCTTACCCCACTGTACCCTTCTCACTCCTCTCCAACTGCAGCCAGAGCGAGCAAAAAACTTAGTACGTAGCTCTGGGGATCCTGGAAACAGAAAGAGAAGGAAGAGAGAAGCTACCACCCCCCTCTTCCTTCAGGAAATAGCCAGCCCTTGATGAGAGCCCTCACCTTGTTCTTCCTGCTGAAGGGCCAGCGTTTTCCTTTATTCTTGCTCAGCAAACGGGGGTCAAGTCGACCATCCAAGGTGCCACGAGGTGTGCCCAGGCTAGTATCTGATGAGGTGCGGTTCATAGGCTGGCTGAAATCTTCAAAATCCATGTCTCCTGGCCTCTCAAAGCCAGACTTGTGTAGTTCAATGAGAACCTGTGAGTCCTAGTTGGGAGAAGGACAGCTTTCTGAACAATAAGCTCATGTAAAAAAAGAAGCCCCCACCCAAGGTACAACCCAATCTAAGTCAGAACTAACCTTAGAGCTGAGCAGTAAAACCCCGTATTAATCCGCAGTAGCATCCAGCCATGTTATAGTAGCAGCAGTCAAAGTACATGGGGTAGCCACTGAAAGTCTGGATTAAACAACCAACCCCAAATGTAAGAAGCCCAATACTTTTGAGCATAAATCACTCTTATGAAAAACAAGAGCGGAACCAAAGCAACAGGCACCGAGTCCCTCTCAATCCTCTCAGTACCTTTGTAGACTCTTATGAGGCTGGCAGGATTAATAAAACAGTGGTGCCTCGCTTAACGAGCTCACCGTTTAATGACGAATTCGCATAGTGATGAGTTTTTTGCGATCGCTAATGTGATCGCATTGCGATGTTTTAGGTGGCAAAACATTGCATTGCGATGATCGGTAAGTGTTTCGCTTACCGATCTTTGCATTGCGATGTTTAGAAAACAGCTGATCAGTGGTTCCAAAATGGCCGCCCACAGCATTTTCGCGCCCTGCCCTCGCTTACCGAGGCGGCAAAAATGGCGGCCGGATGGGGAATCTTCACTTACCAGTGAGTTTTTCCCCCATAGGAACGCATTAAACAGAGTTTAATGCTTTCCTATGGGGTTTTACGTTCCGTGTAGCGATGTTTCCGGATAGCGACGTTAATCCTGGAACGGATTAACGTCGCTATGCAGGCATTAATAATATCTGAGCAACTGGGCTGCTTCCTGAGTCAGAAGCACAGTTCAGTGTTAATGTGGAATCCTGCAGAAGGATCCCATACAATGCCAGCACCACCAGAGAAAGGACCTTAGGTATAAGGGCTCAAAAATCCCACAGGGCACACATGATCCATCCCAATCGAATGGGACTGAAATCAATACAACACAAGGTAGCTTCACAGATCGGTATGGAATGTCTGTATGGTTTGCCCTACATCTAGCTTAGCTTTTGAAGATGAAAGCTAAGCCAGAGAGACACCTTCATTCTATTGTTTTACACCTGAGTTTTGAACATCAGGGCAGATATGTCCACTCACTCGTCACCCCCAAATGCCTACAATGTTAAGGAGCAACAGACAATTCTTATGGGGGAAATTTGAGGTCACCTTCATTTTGAGCTGTGGTTGTGATTAATGTGCAGGTTCTGACTCACTGTACCACTCTGACTTCTGGAAGCTAAGGGCAGGCTTCACTGCAAAATTTGGCAACTCCTTTGTTGGCCGGTTCAAAATAAAACCATACCACTAATGGAACCCCACAAGCAGTCTGGATATACTGGGATTTGAATCTGGGATCTTCCGAGTGGAAAATATGTCCTCTGTCACTGAACAGGGATTCGACTCTGGAAAGCAACCTACAAGTTGGCAAGACTGAAGGATGCTAGGAAAGATGGGAAGGATAGTTGGGCACATCGAGAAGTACTGGGGAGAGAAAAGCTGGAAAAGGCCTTTTGAACGAGTCAGCAGACCATCTGACTTCCAGCTTCTAGACTACATGGGGAGCGGGGGAGGGCATTCTACAAATCATCTGACAGGCACCCACGTTCTTCTCATCAACCACGTCCGCTGCTGCCTTCATGCCCTCTAGGCACTTGCCGATGATAGGCATGACCTGCTGCTCCGTCTCTGAAAAGATGCTATAGCCTTCCTTGAGGCGCCGTGTCCGTCTTTCATCCATTTCCTGCAGTTTCTAAGGACAGAGGAAGGAAGCACAAGTGATACTGCAAGATCCTGCGGATGAGTCACTCCCTCCCTAGCTGAGATAACGTCGCTCGCTGACCAAATGAAGCCTGCCTGGTTATCAGGCCTTTCTGCCTTGCAGCCAACATGGCATGTAAGATTGGTTTCCGAACTTAAAAGGGCATGATAAGCACTACCATCCCATTATTATTGCTTTGGGGTTTGTTTGTTTTTTAAAATGAGCTAATCCTTGACTGAAGCTGGCTGGATAGCTCAACGGTTTAGGTATCTCTCTGTTGACCCAGAGGTTGGGAGTTCAATGTTGCCTCCACTATGCCACCTGGGCTTAAAGTGAGCCTATGTAGCCTTGGGGCTACCTGCACAGTCCCGGAGTGGACCCAAGAAGAAGGGAAGGGTAAACTACTTCTGAGTATTCTCTGGAAAACCCTGAAAAGGGTCCACATAAATCAGAATTGACTTGACAGCTTATCATCCTCATCATTATTAACTTTTGACAGAGGATTTGGTAGTTTAAGTTAAATCTATTACACTACTTCATCACAATGCACCACATATTGCATTAACCAGATATGATCCCCTTCAGATTTTTCAGAAAGTAGTAGAAAGTCTAGGGTGGGTAAGGAGGAATGACCCAATAAATGCAACAGGAGGTAGGAAAACTTCTTGTAATTAAAACCTCTGAGTTTTTGAACTCCTCAAAAGAAACAAGCTTTTGACTTCTAAAAATCTCATACCTAAATCTATACAAAACCTAGAATCCCACATTGTGGTTACTTTGGCTATATGGGAGGAAAACCCATCTTGTATCATATTTAGGATTGTAATCAATATAGGAATAATTGTTATTTGCAGATTTTAAACTTGTGGAGGCAACTTTTCAGTCACAAGAGGATAAGCAGAACTTTAAAAAAACTCTTGGCTGTTTAATTTTTTAAATGCCTTAAAATCTTATTTTTAAGGTATTAAAGGGGGGGGGAATTTATTTTTCTAAATAGTCGTGCATGTTTGTTAGATTGCTACAGCAAGGTGGCTAAACGTCCTGCATGTTGGGCACTCCACAGAACCTGTCCTCAGCTGTCCTCAGTCTCCAGCCACATATCTGTCATACAGTGGCAAAATCAGCCATGGCAGGGCAAGGACTGAGGGGTGCACAAGCAAGTAAAAAAGCAAAAAAGCAAAGTGTGCTGCTTATATACCGCCCCATAGCGATTCAAGCACTCTCTGGGCGGTTTATAAGTTAATTATGCAGGCTACACATTGCCCCCCCCCCCCTGCATGTTAGGCACTCCACAGAACCTGTCCTCGGCTGTCCTCAGTCTCCAGCCACATATCTGTCACACAGTGGCAAAATCAGCCATGGCAGGGCGAGGACTGAGAGGTACACAAGCAAGTGTGTGGCACATGCAGCTTGTGGGCTGCACCTTTCTGCATTACAGTACAGTATATCAAAAAGGCACTTAGACAGAAGATTTGAGTATATGCCAACATAGCCAGCTTTAAAGTAGACAACAGCATAGTGACTGAACGAGCAAAATAAACATACCCACCTACATACCCCACCTTTATGGGGCTGGAAAATAATAGGAAAGACACTATCAGACGAAGTCTAGTAGAAGGATAAGAAGTTTCCTCACAACCCTTCAGTCCTGCCTGCTCTGGCTTTTCACCCTAAGGCTAGAGCAAGGAAATTCCACTTGCAGTCCCCCAAATCTCTTTCTTTGCTGCTATGCCACCAGAATCTTGCCAAAGGTAAGCAGCCATCTTCATACCAAACCTGGTTCCTTTCCCAAACTGTGGGAAGCCTTCTTGTAGGATCAATGATTAACAGGACTGCAGTGGCCTAAGATGGAAGGCATCCACAAAGCCAGCTGTTCTGTGTGTCAACCTACCAGCCTATTTTATCTCTAGAGGGAGACTGAGGGCCTCGCTAACATCTGAAGGTACAGAAGCTACAGGTAAGAGATAATTTACTCTGCTCCTAGGAACCAAAACAAAAATGTACCTGGAACAGGCTCAATTTTGTTGAATTCTTCTGACAGACAAGTCCATGAGGCCTACACTCTGCTGGAAGTTTTCAGTTGACCAAGTTCAAATCTAATTTTTAAACACTTTTTTTTTGTAATCCTTAGGATTTAAAAATTCTTTTGTCTGTCTAACTTTAGAGCAACTTCTACTGCCCAGTTTATATGTTGATATTTCAAGAACACAGGGCTGCAACGTGCCAACATTAGAAGGTACAAAGTTGTAGGAATATTATTTATTTATTCATTTAATTAATTTACTGATATTTCAAGAACACAGGGCTGCAATGTGCCAATATCAGAAGGTACAAAGTTGTAGGAATGTTATTTATTCATTTAATTAATTTAGAATATTTTTATTGCACCTTTCTCCTTCAAAAGAATCCAAGGCAGCTGACATCATTAAAAGCCAATATTTTAAAACTAAAAAAGTAAGTATACAAATATTAAAAGAATCAGTCAAAGGCCACATGAAAAATGGTAAACAAAATCATTACCAAAAACAGATTCAAAGCAACCAGGCACAACACTTCATTGAAAAACCCTGCTCAAGACAACCAATCACTAAGGGAAAATCTTTTTGAAGAGAAAGGTCTTCAGCTGCTTGTGGAAAGCCAGCAAAGATGGGGCCAGCCTGACCTCAAGTTAATGTCTGGGTGCAGCAACAGAGAAAACCCTCTCTCGTGTCCCTACCAAACACACCTATGATGACAGGACTGAGAGAAAAGCCTCCTCTGATGACCTCAACGCCTGAGCAGGCTCATAATGGGAGACATGGCCCCTCTGATGACCTTAACACCTGGTCCTTGAGATAGCTTGGAACCAAGCTATTTAGGGCTTTATAATTTAAAACCCACACTTTGAATTGAACTGTGTTACTGACTCAAAACTTTCGTTTTATTTTTACTGCTTGTCCCAGGCTGCTTTAATGGATCATTCAGTATAGAAAAGGGGCACAAAAATCAAAGCAAGCCTTCCCCCAAAGAAATGCCCGAGACTTACACTGAAAATCTGTGGTATTTCCAGAAAGTAGAACTGGCTCTGATTGTGGTTGAATTTTTGCAGATACGAAGCATATTCATTTTTGCTTTCCTCAGCCATGTGACTACGCAGGTTGGCCTGTTGTTTGGCCTGGAAAAAATTGATACATTGTGTGTAATGACCATATTACTATGAACTCTAGAACTATGAAAAATTCAACATCTCTTATTCCATAGGAAGGAAGGGGGACAGAAGATGAAGTAGGACAATGCTCCTTCTCAAATGATAAAATTGAATGAATTGATTGCTGTTATACACGGTCATAAAACAGAACAATACTAGAGGAAAGGCCAAAATACTGAAAAAAGCAGGAAGAGCTGGCATCAGATTCTTGCTCCCCTGTAACATTTGAATTGATGATACTCTTGTTCTGTTCTGACCAAGGCGCAAACTTGTGTCTGGGATGTGCTACACCAGATGAGAACTTGAATGACTAACTGCTTCTCCATTTCAAAATTGACTTTCATCTAGGAAGGCAAAGATCAAGGAGAATTTAGCACACCCTGCCAGACACAGTGTTGTTGTTTTTAAACAAAGGTTTCCTTTTCTTAAAAAACAACAACAAAGTTTCAAAATCATATGAGCCTAAAGCAGTAAAATCTTAGACCCTAGTTTACAAACTTAATGAGAACTGTGTCTTTGGAGAAGATGTGCCTTACAAGTTATGAAGATAAAACTGGGTAAGTTAATGGATACTATCCTGATGTTCAGTAGAAATATATGTGTACAATAATTAATGAAACATTGTAATCACTACCAAATTATTTGTATGCTCTCTATGCTGAGAACCTCATGTTAGCTCATCAAGCACTATAAATAAGAATTCTCCAACACTTGTGTCAGAACTATATACTGTATCTACATTACAAAGTCAAGGGAGTTTGGCTAGGAGACAGAAGGTTAATGTACTTTAGGATACCTACCAGTGTTTTAGAATCTAGTAAGTTCAAGGCAAGATTAACCTCTGATCCCAGAATTTTCTGGTACAAGAGTCAGCCACTACTCCATAAAGCAGCTCCTGTTCCTCTGGAGCCTCTGGGCACTATTCTTCTGGAGCCCCACCCCGGAGTTAGAGGCACACCTGCTACCTTGACAACGTATTTCACTGCATAGGGTCTCTTCCAGCTCTACAATTCTATGATTCTATGAACAGACTTGTCCAAATCCACCTGTAGGTATTAAACTCAGCCCAGAACATTTGGGACCCTAAAGATTTGTTTCATAAATAAATAAATAAATAAATAAATAAATAAATAAATAAATAAATAAATAAATAAATAAATAAATAAATAAATAAAATTAATATCTTGCCCTTTGCCCCAGTATTACTTTTTTTAAATGGTCCTGTGCAACTAACTGATATTCAACAAGAAACAGGAACAGTAGAATTGCGTTCCCATCAATTTAAGGACTTCTTGCTTCATGTGCACAAAAGCCCTTCAGGTCTCTTTTGCTGTGGAACAATATAACAAAACTTAGAGAAGTCACTAAGTTGGATGACAACTCCCAGCAGCGCCCAGTCAGCATGTCAGTGGTCATACTGAGTGGGAATTTCTTGAAGCTACTTTCTAGGCTCTGCAAAGTATCAATTATAAAGGCTGGGAATCTTTTGCCTCTCTGAGCCCAAAATGTATTTTATTCTTACACACAGTTCATTGTCCAAAGAGGTTGAAACAATCTACATGTAGTACCCAAGCCACCTCCTATTAGGGCAAGTTACTGAAACAGACCTGCTCAACTTCAGCAGTACATTTGGGCTCTACTCCTCTGGCTCAGGAGAGCACCACTTTTTCAGTAAGATCTTATTTATTTTATTTTATTTTATTTTATTTATCTCCCGCCTATCTGGTTGGTTGATACCACTCTAGGCAGATCTTCTTTCTGTTGCAGTTTTTACTAGTGCCTGCACCAACATTACCACTTGCCTTTCTAGAGGAAACGTTGGCCAAGGGCTCCCTTCCTGCAGAAAGACCTCAGATTTGGAAAAAAGAATCTGTTTAGAAACTCTGCACAAGAAAAATCATGGCGAGACTGAACAGGGTTTCATTGCTGGGCCTCAGGAGCGGTGAATGAGCACCTGGCTCATCACTTCCACTACGGGTACACACTTCGACCTGACCTCCCCACCGTAAAGGAAGCAGTGGCACCGTCCAGTCAAAGCTCTGACCTTCTCCACATCTGCCTTGGTAGCATTGATATCCTGGTCCAGTTTCTCGGCTGTCACCACAGCTTTTTCTGCCTCTCTGCAATCACGCTCAAACTTCCGCTTGCTCTGTGGAAAAGAGAGTGTGAGTGAGCAGCAACCCAGAAGAACATTAAGTGAGCCAAAGACACAAGTATGGGATAAGACACTAACAGACTGTGTCTTCTCTTATTGGCGTGCTGATGTGCTCACACTTCAGTGACTAATTTTTTGGGGGCATCATAAGTTTGATGATGACGAGAACAGGTGAGAATTCTCATGCTGCACAGGAATACTCTGGTTTTGTTAATCATTTGGGGCTTTGCAAGGAGAGACAGGCTTAAAATGTTTAGATTATCTGTGTTATTCTTTCTCAGGCACATTCAAAACAAAGTGCAACACAATCAATAATATTAAACAAGAGGTTCTGCTTGCAGGTCTACAATCCTTCTCTCTGTCTCTGTCTCTCTTTCTCTTTCTTTCAGCCAGCACCCATTTGGCCTAAGGGCACTCTGGGTGGTTTACAACATAGAACAATAAAGAATAAAAAATCATAGAAACAACACTACTAAAATATATATAGTATAGGAATAATCAGACAATTAAAATACATTCTAGAATAGCATAGCTATGAAAAGAACAATACTATGTTTCAGCTATTCTTGTGGTTCTGTCCCTGCAATGCAGATGGTGGGGTACCCTTTTGTATTTGACTACTAAGATATGTATAGTATAGGAATAATCAGACAATTAAAATACATTCTAGAATAGCATAGCTATGAAAAGAACAATACTATGTTTCAGCTATTCTTGTGGTTCTGTCCCTGCAATGCAGATGGTGGGGTACCCTTTTGTATTTACCCAGAAGGAGCTCCAGCAAGGTTAATAAACTGAGGTGTCTGGAAGGTCACTTTAAACATTGTCCATACACTGGGGTTAAGCTTTTAATGCATGGCCGAAATCCTGAAGCAGGTTCTATCTCAGCTCACAATACTATGTTTCAGCTATTCTTGTGGTTCTGTCCCTGCAATGCAGATGGTGGGGTACCCTTTTGTATTTACCCAGAAGGAGCTCCAGCAAGGTTAATAAACTGAGGTGTCTGGAAGGTCACTTTAAACATTGTCCATACACTGGGGTTAAGCTTTTAATGCATGGCCGAAATCCTGAAGCAGGTTCTATCTCAGCTCAAACAATCAGAACAACACAACCTCTAAACATTGCCCATATTATTACTGGGGTTAAGCTTTTAATGCATGGCCAAAATCCTGAAGCAGGTTCTATCTCAGCTCAAACAATCAGAACAACCTTATGTACAGACAGACAGACAGGACCATTCCATTGTGGGAGAAAAGGTAAAAGCAACAGTGTACCACGTTGGACAAGAAACTGCAGTGGAAGCACTAGATCAGTGGTTCTTAACCTTGGAGAAACTGCAGTGGAAGCACTAGATGACCAAACCCTAGTTTTTACATGTGCACACAGTGTAAAATTTGAGTACTCGTGCAGGCAGACATTCTTGTTTTATGGTAACCTGCTTCTGAGCAACGGTATCCTTTATTTCAAAAGTCCAAACCCCAGTTTTTACATGTGCACACATTGTAAAATTTGAGTACTCATGCAGGCAGACGTTCTTGTTTTATGGTAACCTGTTTTTAAGCAACGGTATCCTTTATTTCAAAAGTCCACATCAAATGTTTGGAAAGTTCCCCAGGGATCTCAGAGGGGTAGCTATAATTTGTGTGATCTCCACCTCCCTGAACCCCAGGCAAATTTTAAAAAAATACAAAATGTAGATGTGTATTTATTTACTACCCCACCTTTCTCCTTGTAAAGAGAACCAAGGCAGCTTACAAATGATTTTAAAAACATAATTACAAATGTGAAAAATTACATTAAGAAACAATGAACATGTTCATTATTAAAAGACACTAAATAAAATCCCTCTAGAACAATTTAAAAAATTTATTACAAATAAAAGGAGATACAAGTAGTTACAGATTCATTCCTGAGCAACAGGTTTTATATAGAAAGCCTGCCAGAAAAGAAAGGGCTTTGCCAGCTGACAACAGGGCTGCCGGGAAAGGACAGGACCAGCCTGGCCTCTTGTGAGAGAAAATTCTGCATCCTAAGAGCGATTGCCCCAAAACACCCTCTGCCATTTCCACAGCAAGTGTGTATGTAAGAGAACTGGAACCAAGAGAAAGATTTATTCCCAAAAATATAAAATTTGGGGAGGCTAATATATCCTGGACCCAGGGTGTGTGTAATAATTTTCAAATTATTTCCCAAATATTTGCTTGCAAGTTTTCCTTATATCCTCTCTCACGCAGAAGAACAAACTCCTGGATGATGCTCCTAAAGATTGGTTTGTCTCTGGAGAACACATACTTCTGCTATTAATAAGCTTTAGCCCCACACTGACAAAGATCCAAAGTTATGGTTTAAATTTCTGTAAAAGCTCAGAGGCTTTTGGAGAATTTCAGAGCCCACACAGAGTACTTAATGGCCAATGACCTGAAGCCAAGTTGTAGCACTTACTTTACACGTTGCCACTCTCCCTGCTTTCCACCAACCAATCCCAAAGCTGCTGTAAAGAACGGACAGAGGAAACATTCTCAGAATAAAAAAAGCCCCTTTCTGTATCTTCATCACATCACATCCACCAAATGTTTGGAGAATTCTAAGGGGAACGATGACCTCCACAGCTGTGTTTCTGCTCTGAATCTCAGCCAAATCAAGAGAAGTAATGTTAAGGCCTTCCAAGCATGTGACCCTCACAACTCTGCAAAAAGCATGTCAAGTTAGGTTGAAGATTTTTCCCCCCCTGAACAGAGAACTCACATTTTCCAGCTGTTTGAAAGAGTTCTCCAGCTGCTGCTGAGCCCTTCGGCTCTCTTGCAAATGCTAGGAAGGAAAATTAAGAGAGAGAAAGTCTTCATCAGAAGAGTTCTGCCAGTCCTGTAAGAGCCCCAAACAGTTTGGGCCTCTGCTAAATGTTTTCAGATTATCCGCTGCCAGAAACACCCTCAAAGAGGAAAAGTCACAGGCATCAATTTTAATGACTTTTCTAGCATCCACCTGCACATGGCTACCTGTACATGATTTAATTTCAGTTTATAAAAGCTAAATAAGAGGTGTTAATCTCAATAGCTTCGCATATCTTCCATGCCTTTTTTGGTTAGCCTAATTAGGTTGTCACATCAATATGCATGTTAGAATTTATTTTGGTCCAGCTCAGTTTCCCTGCTTTTGTAAGTACATAAGCATTCCTATGGCAGATGCCATAAGGACAATCTCAAAAGGAGCATGGAAATTTTCCATAGAAGATGCAGCAGTCCACATTTAGTTAGCCAGCTAATCAGAATATCATCAGGCACTTTGTCAAAAGCTTTGCTGAAGTCAAGATATACTATGTCTACAGCATTCCCTCTGTCTACAAGCGAGGTTATCCAATCAAAAAATGAGATCAGGTTAGTTTGGCGAGGATTTGCTCTTGAAAAATCCATGTTGCCTTCTAGTTATTACTGCATTCTTTTCTAGATGCTTGCACAGCGACCACTTTATAATCTTTTTCCAGAATTTTCCCAGGGATTGATGTCAAGCTGACTGGTCTATAGTTCCCAGATTCCTCCCTTTTGCCCTTTTTGAAGAGAGGGACAACATTAGCCCCCCCCCTCCAATCATCTGGCACCTCACCCGTTTCCCATGATTTCAAGAAAATAATGGACAGTGATTCTCAGAGGTCTTCAGCCAGTTCCTTCAATATTCTTAAATGCAGTTCATCTGCTTGCAAAGATCTGAACTAATTAAAAGTAGTATTCCTTGACTATTTCTTCATCAATCTCCAGCTGCAGTCCTGTCCCCTCCACTTGCACTTCACATTTGTCTGGAGGATCACAGTCTGAATTTTGGGGAAAGACTTGAGCTAAATAGGAATTGAGCACTTCTGCCTTTTCTTTGTCTTCTGTTCTCATTTTCCATCTCCACTGAATAGCTGAATCACTGTTTGTTTTCTTTTGCTACACACGTAACTGAAGAATGCATTTTGTTGCTTTTAGTGTATCTAGATTAGCTCATTCTCGGCTTTTGTCCTCCTAATGTCATCCTTGCAATTCCTTGCTACTTGTCTGTACTCTTCCTTTGTGACTTGGCCTCCTTGCCACTTCCTATATACAAGTCCTCTTTTGTTTTCAGGTCCTGTCAGAGCTTTTTGTGAAGCCACCCCGGCCTTTCTTGCTTTCTCCCACCTTTTTTCTTGTTGGAATTGTTTTTAGTTGTACCTTTAGAAATTCCTTTTTTAGAAACTCCCACCATTCTTCGACTCCTTTTCTTGTTCGGATCTCCTGCCAACGTCTTCAACTCCTTTTCTTGTTCGGATCTCCTGCCATGGGACCTTACTTATCATTGTCCTGAGTTAATTAAAACTGGCTTTTAGAATTTTAGTAGAATATGGTCACTCTTTCCCAGAGGTCCTGTTACTCCCACTTTCTCCACCAAGTCATCTCTAGAATCAGCTTGTTCCCCGATTTATTTGATTGACTGCCATGTTGGGTATCTTACAGAGTGAGAGGTTCTTTACCGATTTTCTCTCTTGCTTGAGTTCTTGAGAGTATTTGGCAAGCTCCACACAAATCCGCATCAGAAGATTTTCCGCTACTACCTCTCGCTGGCCAGCGAAGTCATTCAGCTCCTGCACTATCTGGAGGAAAGCTTGATACTGGCAGAATCTGCATAAGAGAGTCAAGGCATAAATTACTCCTGGAGTACCTACAATATCAATAAATCTGCTCATCATACATTTGTGTCAAAGTGTACATACTGAGGGGATCTTTTCCATAAACTACTAAAATTGCATATTAGTACTGAACTGCCTAACTTATCCTAATTACAAAAAGTCTGTGCCAAATGTTCATTTGATCCAATTCTCTCTCTCTCTCTCTCTCTCTCTCTGTGTGCGTGTGTGTGTGTGTGTGTGTGTGTGTGTGAGAGAGAGAGAGAGAGAGAGAGAGAGCACATGTGCCGAGGGACGTTTAACTTATGACAAGTTAATAAAAAAGTTTAATAAATCAGGCAGTGGTGCCTCGCTTAGCGATCGCGCCATTGAGTGATGAAATCGCTTTGCGATGGACTTTTGGCCATCGCTGGAGCGATCACTTAGCGATGTCCCCTATGGCTAAAATTCGCTTTGTGATGATCATGGGGAAGCGATCATGGCAAAGCAAGCTTTTTTAAACAACTGATCAGCGGTTCCAAAATGGCCACCGCAAAAACAAAATGGCCGCCGCTGTTTTGCCTCGCTTCAGAGGCACCCAAAATGGCCACCACTATGGAGGAATTTCACTTTAAGGTAAGTTTTTAGCCCATAGGAACGTATTAAACACGTTTTAATACTTTCCTATGGGCTTTTTAATATAGCTTAGCGATTAAATCACTTAGCGATGTTTTTTCCTTAACGCATTAACATCGCTAAGTGAGGCACCACTGTACAAGTTCTCTGAAACTTTGTTCAGAAAATGGCTCTTCCCTGTTTAAGTGTCTTAGAAAACTGAGCAACTTCCCTAGGTTTCAGACGAGAAGAAACCATTTGGTCCCAGCACATGGTTATTATAATTAAATAATAAAAAACAAGCTAGAATCTCCAAAAGGTTTCTGGTTTGTTAAAATTAAATCTACAGCTGCAAAACTGAATACTTCTCCTTTAAAAAAATAATATAACAAAATAAAACAAAAACATAAATGACAAATAGAATCACAACTCAAATATACAGTGTAAACCAACACGTTTCATCATAATTTATATGTGCATGCACTGTCTCTTTCCAAAAATATAATGATTCTTGTGTTAGTATATACTGTTTATGTTTTGTAAATACTGTACTTATTTTACAAAAAGGGTTCCAAATCCTATTAAAACTGTTTTCCTTCAATAATACTTTTCTAACTTTAGAATCACAACTCAAATATACAGTGTAAACCAACACGTTTCATCATAATTTATATGTGCATGCACTGTCTCTTTCCAAAAATATAATGATTCTTGTGTTAGTATATACTGTTTATGTTTTGTAAATACTGTACTTATTTTACAAAAAGGGTTCCAAATCCTATTAAAACTGTTTTCCTTCAATAATACTTTTCTAACTTTCAATTCACAGCTACTTATTTTACAAAAAGAGTTCCAAATCCTATTAAAACTATTTTCCTTCAATAATACTTTTCTAACTTTCAATTCACAGGTTAATTTATCGCTAATAGTAGATTCCACATCTCATTGCACTATTCTTCCAACATCAATTGATTATATTTCCAATTCCTTGCAAATATCAATCCAGCTGCTATTAACATAACAACAGTTAGTTCAATTTTCCCCTATCTAATTTACTGTTTCTGAATATATTTAACAATGCTAACACTGGACATTGTGCATCTGTCCCTAGAATTTCTTTAATCTCATTAAATATAATCATCCATTCCTTCTGTTTCTCTTCACTTTCCCGCCACATATGACAGCATATTACCCTTTCTTCTTTACATCTCCAACATATAAATGATAACTCATTATTCAATGTACTGTATTCAGTTTCCTTGGTGTTACATATCATCTCCATACTACTCTATAACAGTTTTCCTGACATATTTTTCATTATTCTTTCTCCCCAAATCCTCTTCCACATTTCTTCACTATTTAAATCTCCTTGGCATATCTTTTTCAAGGCTATTGTTTTATATTCATTCTCTACTAACATCTTATATATTACACTTATTATCCATTTTCTTTGAATATTATCATCCCTCTTTTCCCTCTTTTCCATAATTTCTTCAATTTATGAAACATTTCTCCTGACACAGACACAGCCAGGAAGAGAGTTAGAGGGGCATTTTGATATGTTTCTTGTTTCTGTAAGCTTCCATTAAAGTTAGCAAATGGTAAATGCAGGAAGGAATGATGGAACAGCAATGGGAGACCTCCAGATAATCTAATGTTTATCACATTCCTAAATATATGACATCAAAATGTCCTAGGGCTTGGTGTCAATGTACAGAGAACAAGCTGTTGGATACAGATGTCCCAGCTAGCAGTCACCCACACGTCCTGCAAAATGTCTTGGAAAAACATGGTGTCCAAATTATTGGAGAGGAGGGATGGTGGGCATATTACTGACAGCCTGTTCCAACAGGAAAACAAGGATTCTGAAACTACCACCACTGCTGTTAAATGCAAGCCCTTCTTTATTCAAAGGGTCAAATCTCCTCTAGCCCCTAAAACGAATCAAGTATTTTTTTTTCCTTTACTGCTAAAGTGATGACTAAGTAGTGAGGACCATGAAAGATGACTTAGAATCATGTCACAGAGAAGCTCAATAAAAATGGCAACAACATGCAGCAAAAGTGAAAAAAGCAGACTCCACGCTAAGAATTAGTCAGAAAAGTTCTATAAATACACTCAATATTACAATTGCTACGTGTGCGCGCGCTCCTGCGTTCATACGTAAAAAATGAAAACAGTCCCAAAACAGATTTATATATGACTATGAACATATTCACATTTACATATAAATCTCTTCTGCAACAATATTTGGAACACTATGTACAATTTTCATTGTTGCATTTTAAGGATATCACAGAGATGGAAAAGATCAGAAAGGGACAGCAAAAAGGAGAGGAGATTTGAGAATATTCTATATGAGGAAAAGACCAAGCATTTCACAATTGGTAGACCTAAGTTGAAGGTGGTGGGGAAAAAAAGATTTATAAAAATTATCCAAGATGTGAGAAAACTGAATAAAGAAAAATAAACCTTGCTCTCTCCCAACCTTGGAACTCAGAGTCATATAAAGGAATTTATTTGTCTATCGTGCATCTACTGCCAAAGAAAGCATTCCTCCACACAATGTGTAATTAATTTACGGAATGCACTGCTACATGATATCACAGAGCCACCAGCTTAAATGGCTTTAACGGTGATTTAAGCATACTCAAAATGCTATCAACCACTATCAACCACGACAGCTAAAAAAATGTGTTCAGCTAAATCAAGGATATAAAACCATCATCATTTTGTTCTCCTGTGCCAAGTGAGAAAGTGCAAAGTTGCTTCTTGTTGTCTGTGAAGAATTTTTTCCAGTCTCGGAGACAATTTGCAGATTTGTGAGACTAATTTTTGTACATTTTTTTGAATAAACAAAATTAAACTGTTGGATGTCACCTTTGTGAGACATTAAACTAGAGAAAACATGCACAAATTGTGCAAAGCACAGTGATAAGGAAGTCTGGTTTGTTGCTTTAGAGGTGCGAATTCTCAGAAGTAGCTAGGATTCGTAACAACCTGTCTTGCTGCATTGAAATAACAAGAAATGGGACTCTAGAGAGACTTTTTCATATCTGCAGCACATACTAGTTTAACAAACTATGTTTATAACCTGTTTGTGGCCCCTGAAACTGTTTACTGCTGAAAAAGAAGGCATGGCTCTTTTTACATTCTTATGGACAGCCACAGTACTTTTGATTGCATAAAAAAGAAGAAATCTCCTAGACTTCATGGTTTTTCAGAATTTGGAATGGGGCCCAGATGGTTACGACCCTATATTTTATACAAGTGAAAATATATTAAAGGTAAGCATTTTTTTTCCATACAGGGATGTCCCGCATTAGTTCTGTTTTGGAATGATACATTTACCAGACTAAACATGTTGTTTACTATGAGTCAATGATTAAGATTTTGTGTGGTGTTTCAGGTTTATTGATGGTTTTCCATCTTCCTTGTGTGTAATTCTGAAACTATTTACTACTAATATTCTTGTTGTTTCCTTATAATGCCTGTACTTTACCAAACAATAAAGCAGTTAAGGGAAGGATCCAGTCATGAGTGGGTCATACTCTTGAAACAGCAACTACTGAGGATAAATACGTGTAGCAAGTTTAATAGTGAAGACATACAGTCTAGATGAGAGAGAGAGAGAGAGAGAGAGAGACACGTCATTGTTTACAAATGTTAAAAGTAAGGGAAATCAGTCTGGAAGACACCAGAAGTGGCCATTTTCCTTTACAACACAGTGTGGTGTCATGCTCTACTTAAAATTGAGAGGGGGGGGAAGGGAGAGAGAGAGGGAGAGAGAAAGAGAAAGATATGTATTGCCTCTCATAGCAGTAAGATTTCTGGAATCTGAGGCCTGGAGCTTGCAGGAATCCCTCTGAGCTCTTCCCCCAAGGTTGCACAGCACGACCCAAGAGGCAATTCCCCAGGATACCTAAAGTCTGTTGCTATGCTGAGGTGTGGCACTTGCATCACACATGCTGCTGTTGCTTTACCGGCAATCCTATGGATACAACTACGCATCCTGAATTATTGCTTGGGTAGCCAGCTCTAGAGAGCCACTGACCTGCCCTAATTTTCTGAAAGCAAAATATGAAAACTCGTGAAGAAGGACTTTTTTGGGGGGGGGGTTGGAGTCTACAACGCAAGAATATCTCATGATTCTTTGCACCTAAAGCACACACAGAACATTTCTTACTTCATTTCCGGGTCTTCTCGTGCAGTCCTCTTGGGGAGATGCTTTTTCACAAGGTTCCTGCATGTAGGATGAGGGAAGGAGAGAGGAGAGAAAACATGAATGAGCACAGGGGTAGTACTATTTAGAAAATGGGGATGAATTAAATCACCTCCCCACGTGCTTCCCAATGCTGATGCTCACTGCACTTGCTATCAATTTGTGTTTATCTGTTACCCTAAACTCTTCCACCAGAAGCAGCCTTGCTGCATGATAGGACCAGAAAGTCGAACAGATGAAACGTCAGACAATGTCTCTACTAGGCTCTTGAAGACACCACTTGAGTCAATTCAGTTTATCAATGTAAATATCAATGGGCAGACCCAACTAAGCATCTCAGACTTACTTGACATGACAAAGGTTTAATTAGGCTGATAATATTTTGTACAATGACTTCCTATGGATGCCGATATATATAATATTGCTTTCCCTCATCACACAGTTCTAGTAGTTGGTGTTTTTTTAAAAAAGTTCCAACTAGAAGTTTTTTTAAAAACAGGGAAAATATACTATAAAACTGGGCAAGACCCCACAGAAGGAGTTTGGCAAAAGGGAGGAAGGTCAGATTTGAAACAGGAATGTAATTTATAATAAGAACAATCCCAGCCAGCCTACTTCCTATGGAGGAGGCTTTTCTGTTGAAGACGAAGAGAAGACTGGAAGGTGGCAATTCAATGGCTTCCAACCTTTTCCTTTATGCAGACTCCTTCTTTGCCATTAAAGGCTTTGTGCACTGTCACTTAGCCAAACCATTTTTAAGAGATGATAGTCAAATATATAAATATGTGAACAACTGACACCGAAAGGCATTGATTTAAGGGGTGTTTGACAGACCCCACCCTGCCTAATGTTAAGAGAGGGTGAACAACACTCAATATTTTTCTGGGAGAAAAAGTGAAGAGCTCACCACTGTGAATTCTTTCCTGCTCTCTTTTTAGTCCTAATCAGATATAGTAACATTTGATTCTACGAACATGCTTCGAGATAAAAGCCTAGCCCAGTCCCCCTTCTGCCACTATATCATATCCAATTTCAGTGGGAAGGAAACAAACTCCAGCTCACATGCTCAGCGTACACATGAGCAGGTCCTTCTCCTCTTTAGGAATGTCACTGCTTGCCTGAGCAAAGCAATGAGAGATGGGAGTGGAGGTGGCTTATCCCCTGTAACCATGATGATGATGCTTCCTTTTTCAAAGCGACCGAAGAGGGCTCAACTGATCTCTGCACCCACTTCCTTTCCCTTCCTGCTGCAGATTAGAGCCACATGGATCAAACAGTACAGAACCCTCACAGGCTGCTATTTGTTTCACAGACTATTCAGTTTGGAACTGCTGCACTATTAAGAAGACTCCAGCCAAGGAAAAGAAATAGGCTTTCTGAACAATGGGAAAAAGATATCTCTGTGGCAGCAGGAACAGCAAGAAAGATGCAAGCACAATTCAACAGAAACTTTTAATTCAAAGGTCCAATGGAAATTAATAAAGCATCTCATGCAATTCAACATAGCTTTCACAAGAGATGTTCTCTGTGGAGTAAAGGCCCATATCGTGTCAAATATTTAAATCATACCTGTAGCCGCAATAAGAATCAAACTAATTTTAAAATATTGTAATATATATTCTCAGTGTTTAATAATTGAGCTCCTTAATGGGTTTTTTTTTGCTTAGGGCAATTCAATTACTATTTTTATTTTAAATGCTAGGAAAAATATCAGACATGATTCTAATCTGTTTCATGTTGTTCTGACACATCAAAGAAAAAAAATTAAAGGAGAAAAATCACTAACATTCCAGAACAAACAGCTTGCAAATTATGGGCAGAAGTCTCTAATAATTTGACTGTGATCCATGCACATACATGTGTAAGAGCAAGGTTAAAGGGGGGGGGAAGGAGCCGTAAGTGGTACCAGTTAGACTTTGTTTGAGGAATTACTAAAAGAAGAAAGAAATACACTACTTGCCTCGCCATACCAGCCACAACATCTTGGAAGCCTCTGATTTAGGAGCTCTTCCTCTGAAGAGTGATGGCTATCTGCTATGACTCAGTGATGAACAGTCTATACCTCTGTATTCTCTCACAACTACTTTCCTTACTACTAATGCTTTATATCTTCCAGAGCTGAGCTTTCCTCCTCTTAGTACTGCCAGATATTTTGGAAGTATGTTTTCCTCTAGAAAATGCAACTATGAATACTGGATAGGGGAATGGGGGGAAAAGGGAAGGGAAACAAACTAAAAGAGAGGGAGGGGAAAAAAGACAATGAAGGCAGATGAGGAAGTTGGGCCCAATAAGACCAGAGAAAAAGGAAAAAAGTTAAATGGGGGCTGTAAACAGCATTGCAGGGGTGAATAAGAACCATGTTTTTTTCTCAGTAAATGTGGCCGAGACTTTTTTCACCAATTACACCAAATGTTAACGGTCACAATGATTCTTTTGCATACATTTAGGCTTGAATAAAATTACCTTACATCAGGTACTCCAAAACAAAATAAGGTGAAGAGTGAACAAATGATCACATGCTACAAGAAGGGGCAGGTGGTAGGAATGCATCAGTGTTGCCTTGTTCAGTGACAAGAACACAAATATAAAGCATCACAAAGGACCAGGAAAATAACGTGAACCCTATTTCAAACACCATGTCAGTACCTCCAATATCTGCAGCTTTAAGGGAACAGCAGATGTGGCCCCTTGTCTTTTACAAGCAAACCAGCACATCACAGCCATATCTTCCTTCTGCCTCTCAACTCTGCCATTTTTGGCTAAGAAAGGCCTCTCCTGTCTTCTGCTCAAAAAAGCTCAGAACACCCACCTGGCATTCTTAGAATGCAGAAAGCCGTACTGTACAGTCAGAGGTCAACGGACTGACTTGATGTGTGCAAATGAAGCTGCAGGCACCATACAGTGGGCCACTCCCTTATGGAGAGAAACATCTCTCAGGTCTGTTTAAACTCACAGAGCAAGGAGGACTCATTAAGCACCCTGCGTACATTCATTTCCAGCTGACTGTTCCCACTGGGCCATTTCCTCCTGTACTCACGGCCTTTAATTAGGCCTTTTTGTTGGAAGTCTCTAGAGAACAGTTCCAGGGAAGGAATTTTCAAGGAATGATGGCATAGCCTCCACAGGGGAAGCAGAAACCCCCTTTCCTATCAGCACAATCCTATAAGAGGTAACAGCATGGTGCAAAGTTACCTATAAGGTAAAGGTAAAGGTTCCCCTTGACAATTTTTGTCCAGTCGTGTTCTACTCTAGGGGGCGGTGCTCATCCCCGTTTCCAAGCCATAGAGCCAGCGTTCTGTCCGAAGACAATCTTCCGTGGTCACATGGCCACTGCGACTTAGACACGGAACGCTGGTACCTTCCCACTGAGGTGGTCCCTATTTATCTACTTGCATTTGTATGCTTTCGAACCGCTAGGTTGGCGGGAGCTGGGACAAGCGACGGGCGCTCACTCCGTCACATGGATTCGATCTTACGACTGCTTGGTCTTCTGACCCTGCAGCACAGGCTTCTGCGGTTTAGCCCGCAGCGCCACCACGTTACCTATACAACCCACAAAACAGAACTGGGGAGAAATCAGATATTTTCATTGCCTCTATCCAAGATTTCTTTTAAAAAGCTACTGATTATTTAAAACAAAACAAAAATAAGATCAGACAACAGCTGTATTTTTAAGATTTCCAGTCCAGAAACCAAGCTTCTATCTTCCAAAGCAACATTCAGAAAAGCATCCAAGTTTAGGTAAGAGAGCAAATGGCCCTGCAATTATAATATTACTTTGCCCTACAGCTCGCAACTACAAACTCCAAAACAGTGGTTCCCAACCTTGGGCAACCCAGATATTCTTGGACTGCAGCTTCCAGAAACTCCAGCCAGCACAGCTAATGGTGAAGGCTTCTGGGAGTTGCAGTCCAAGAGCACCCCAAGGTTGGGAACCACAGCTCAATAATCATCTCCCTCTCTGATGAAGCATGGAATTGCAGCTGCTCTGCTATGTATAGTATCTTTGGATTCTACAGCAGATAACCTTGATGTATTAAATTCACCAGAGCAACAGCAATCATGTCCAACCAGAGTTTTAAAATTGCCTTTAAAAATCAAGAGCAATATTGGTTCTAAGACTTGCGAATTGTTCTAATGGATGTACATAAGCTTTTCTCTGACTGATGTTATTACAGAAAGAGACATGAGGTCTAACTGCATTTTCACAGCAAAGAAAGAGCTATACATGAGTCATAACACATCAGATCAATGATTTAAAGGGGCAGGATGGGATGCTTCTTCAGTGCTGGTCGGATATATGACAATTCATGACACAGCAAAAAGAGGCAGGTACCTGCCCATTCTGTCCATGTGGGAGACAGCAGAGACTGGGGAAAGGAGTAACAAAAGAAAAACGGAATCAGCAAGGGTAAAAAGAGATGAATACAAAGTAAGGGAGTCATCTGGCCTCAAGCTGTCATTATTTAAAGGGAGAACCCCCACACATAAGGTGCCTATGCCTGAAAAAAGGCCTAGCAATACTCTAGGCCTGATTTTATTCTTTTTAGAGGGAAGAACCAGCTTTGCCACTGATTTGCACCCTTAGACAATATATTTCAAAGTTAGTTGTTCTGACCCAACTAATGAATGTTTTGATCCCCTGATGTACTACTACTTATCAATGGTGTATAGCTGATTGAGTTTTGCAGACTGGTTCACAAGTGGTGCATGAAATGGGCCAGCCCACATATTGGTACGATAGCATTTAATCCAACCACACTGCAAAATCTTCCAGCTACTCATCTTGTGGGCCTTTCTCTTTTCTGTTTCACTTGAAAAGAACATGAAGAAGTTCTTCAAAACAGCAGACATATTCTGAGCCTGGATATACATGCCATCTTGAAGTAATGGAGGACTGACAACTGGAGCAAAACAAAGTTGGCAACCCACACGTGCATTCAACCATGTCCCTCCTTGCCTTTATCAGGACACAAGAAAATGCTTTCATGTACGGGGATATGACAAGAAATTCTTCACTCAGTCCAAAGAACCAAACATCCAAAAGTGGGAATAGAACCAAAGTCATCAGTTGTAGTGCAAAATTGCCCACAACTCCAGGAGCAAAATGGTGAATAAAGTTTTGGACCCTTATCTACTAGACACAGCATGATAGAGTTCAGGAGAACTTTTCTTTTTCTTTCAACAGAAATGGGGAAGACAGCTTTGGACTGGACAGCAACAGTACAAATCAATTCGGAGGCCTCTGTTCCCAGTACAGTACTGTGATGCCTGGAAATGAAGAGAAGTCCTAAGCCAGCAGCCCTGCAGGCAGAGGGGAAGGAATGGGAGTCACTGCTAAAGAATCCAACCGAAGAGGAAAGGGACTTGGATGACTCCTGAACTCGCCAGTCAGCCAGAGGCTCCAGACTTCTCTGGATCCTCCTGGATAGGAGTCTTATTATAACAGAGCCTTTGGATCAGCTTCAGAAACATTTGGGACAGACGGTTGAGGAGACAGCTTCAAGATGATGGGGAAGACGAATGGAAGGTGAAGCAGAGCAGAAATTCTGCCTCAAACATCGGGCAAAGCTGGGTGGGAATTCTGCTTAGTCTGGGAATCAAAAGAAAAAGGTAAACAGGAGAGAGAGAGCTTTTTTGCACAGCAGACAAATGCTAAAAATGAACCTGGAAATCTCAATTAATTGTAACATAAAGCGTTATACAAGAGAAGATATTTTACCCACTAAGGGATTCCTGTCATAACTGTGACTGTGAAGTAAAATAAATACTGAAAACTCTGCCAATGAACCGAACTTTTATGTTATGTATTGTTTTGCTATGTCTGTTATTATTTGTTTTGTTTATGATGTTGTGTAATAAAATAATATTAAAAAAGAATAAAATAAAATAGAAATCCCAATTAAGACCTGGATTACCGGAGTGGATGAAAAGGTCCACCCAATACAGGGTTTATCAGTGGCCAGACAGACACCTGAATATCAACAAGGAAGTCACAAAATCAACACATTTTCACTGTTTAGTCCCAGCATCTAATATTGAAAGGTACACTGCCTGTAACCAGTAGAAAATTAGACTGGTACATGGAGAACTAGTCTAAGCAGTCAAAACAGTTATTTAGCTGCTTCTTTTGTCAGTGAATTGCATAACTACCCATACTGTGAGGTATTTTCCTTTGTGTGTTCTGACTAATGTAAGATAAACTTCATAAAATCATAATCATAGGGTTGGAAGGGACCTTGGAGGTCTTCTAGTCCAACCCCCTGCCCAATGCAGGAGACCTCATACCATCCCAGACAGATGACCGCCCAATTTTTTCTTGAAAACCTCCAATGATGGGTTACCCACAACATTGGGAGGCAAGCTGTTCCACTGCTTAATGTCAGGAAATTCCTCCTTATTTCCAGGTGGGATCTCTGTATGAGATCCACCCTTTGGTTCTTGTCCTACCCTCAGGGGCAATGGAGAATACATCAATGCCCTTTTCCCTGAGGCAACCCTTCAGATAATGGAACACTGCTATCATGTCACTGGAGACTCAGTTTTAAGAGGGTGTGAGGAGACACTGCCCCTGCACCTGGTGGGCCTTTTGCCTCTTTGAGGCCTGCACAGTGACCCCAGTAGCCAGGTGGTCTAGGGGCATGGACAGAGAGCCAGAGCACATGCATCTCACTGGAGACTCAGCTTTAAGAGGGTGTGAGGGGATACTGTCCCTGCACCTGGTGGGCCTTTTGCCTCTTCACACCCCTCAGAGGCCTGCACAGTGACCCCAGTAGCCAAGTGGTTGAGGGGCATGGACAGAGAGCCAGAGCACATGGAAGGAAAAGGAGATGAGGAACAGCTGGTGCAAAGGACAGAGGCAGGTGAGGTGGAGGGAGTGGAGCCGGGAATAAGAGGGGGGAAAGAGGATGCCAGAGGGGAGCAGTGGTTGGATGCCTGGGAAGTCTTCTATCTGGTCGTCTGTGGCCCTGGGAAAGGCATGGTGGAAGGTGCTGAGAGATGTGTAGATGAGGGAGTGGGTAAACCTCACCTAGGGGACAGCATATAGGCACAAGCACACCCATCTTCCCCCCCCCCAATGAACTGCTGATGCAGACCAAGGTAACCAAGAGGGACTCCCCCCACCCAGTGGAAACACTGGCAACACCACCAGCAGTCTGTGTGCCTGACTCAGCCCACTCTAGGACAGAAGGAGGTGTCTCTCTGAAAAGACCAGCAACCATCTTAGGAATATCTGCCCTCTCAGAAGGGCACCATGACCAGTAATGGCAACTCAGCCTCGGCAATAAGGAGTAGACAGGCAGGGGACAATGAGTACAACTCAGGCCCAGCCAGAAGCAACAAACAAACAGGGGATAGTAGGCAGAACAATGTCCCAGCAGGGGAGGACTGATGGAGCAGGAGGGCTTTTGGGAATTGCTGTCAGGAATGGGGAGCAATGCCGTGGCTGAGACAGCCCAGAGTTCTCTGTCTACTGAGAGGGGATGTTTGCCTGGCATAACAAAAGCTGTTGAAAAGCATACTGGTTGAGCCCTCTCTATGGAGTCCATGTTGGAAAAGTTATCAGAGGTAGCCCTCCGCGCAGAAGGGGTGGTGGAATGCACGGGGAGGGGGGAATATTGCTCCATCTACTGGTGCATAATCCAAGAATGTATTAAGAGAGACAAAGGAGCATTCCAAATTCTTCCTTGTACTTGTGGGTTGTCCGATGAAGTACTCCTTTCCTGAGCTGAGCATGAACAAAGTTCTGGGCTTTCTCATCTGAGCTTTCCTTTTCAGACCTAAAAACTAAAATCCCAAGCTTTCTCCTTCCTTTCGAGGCAAAGCTGTCTTTGTCCCACCTGTGTACATACCTCAGCTGCTTTGCGTATGCCTGCTCAATCTCTGTCCGTTCTTTCACAAACTTCACATACTTGTCCATCAGATCTAGGCCCCACTGTGTGTGCCGCTCAACTATGTCAAACTGATCCTGAAAGAGGAAGAGAGGGAAAGCGTTACCAAACAGTGCCAAAAAGGAATATATTTTCTACCTGGCCCCTGAAGATGTGATACAAAAACCTAAATCTCACTGAGATGACAAAACCAATGTCTGTGGTGGATTACCTCAGGATCAAGTGCAGAGTCTCCCGAAAAAGTTCTTTGTACAAAGAACACTAGTAGTGTAGTTTCTGTCAACACTAACTAGACTGGGACTCTGGAATGCTTCCAAAGATCTAGGCGCAGGACTTGATCAACTGGTGCTTGTTTCTTCCTCTAGTCCCAGAGGTGTTTTTCCTCATTCGACATATGACACTGACCATGTAACCTTAATGTTCTTAATATCCACACCGTATATCCTTCTCTAAAGAATTCAGATTATGATACAAGACAGATTAATTTGTTAACAATTAACAGATTAATTATCTCCCTTATGATCTGAGCTAGTAACAAGGATATGTACTGGATAACATGCTAATGAGAATATGGTAAAGCCAAACTTCTACCATGCCTAACATTAACCCGCTGTGATGTTGCCAATGAGAAATATCATGAATTTGTGCTTCATAACAGATAACATAATTGATATCACTTAAAAGCTTTGCTTAAGACCAGGAATGGGCAAGGTACAGTCTTGCAGATGCTATGGACCGCAGCACCTATAATTCCTCACTGTTGACTGTGCCAACTAGAGCTGAATGGAGTTGCAGTCCAACAACAGCAATATGATTAAAGGTTTCCCAACCCTGGTTTAGACCCTTCCAGCAATTCAAAGCACCCTGTTCTATGCAGTGTCATGTCTTCAACAGGTCTGGTTTGGGCTTATTTGGCATGTCCTGATGGACTCGCTACCCAACTAGTTTGAGGAAGCACTGGGCACAATAGTGCTTTGACATAAACCACATTATTTATATGTCAAGAAGAGTATGGTGTGCTCCAGGGATACTTGCCTCAGTTTTTCTAAAGCATGTACACATGATATTATTTGGATTTGTTTAATCTCTGGAGCTAAGTAGCTAATTTATCGATTTTAAATTCATCTTTCCCAAATCACTGGATGTTCTATCTTCCCTTGGTATATCTGAAGCAACAGTTAAGGAACTGGCATGCTCTGAACCAGAGAGTTAGGCCAATTCATGGCATTACTCTCCATTAGGACATTTTAGCATCATTTCCAGTGTCAATGCCTGCACCGGTTCCTAAAGCAAATCATGCAAGTAAGATCAACCTTACAGCTGCTTCAAATGAGCTCTGATGCTTTTTGCAATAGAGTGTAGGCACGAATATTGGTGATCTATAATAACAATACAACTCTTACAATTAAACAAGGCGTGAGAGTGCCACATGGTTTCTGGCGCTTGAAACAGAGAGAGAGAAAGAACACTTTAATTCGTAAACATCAATACTGTGTTTTTAAGGAAACGCCCTTGACCAAAGCGGAGGAAGAAAGCACACTCTAGGCATGTTAATCTGGACTGAAGACACTCTGGGATTTTTCTTCAGTGCCCTGGAAGCCAATTAGTCATTTTTTACTTCCTCAACTTGGCACTCACTTTTACATACCCATTCACAGCTGGGAAATTTTTGAGGAAGCTTTCCAAGTCACTTTGAATTTTTATACATATGTGCTAGCTAGAGGACAGTCAGAACACATCAATAACTATGCTGTTACAAGGCTTCTTTGAATATATTTTATATATACCATGTTTCCTCGAAAATAAGACAGGGTCTTATATTGATTTTTGCTCCCCCCAAAAATGCATTAGGGCTTATTTTCAGGGGATGTTTTATTTCAAAGGCATGTCATCTTCTGGTTTCTGCACAATGGTGAAGGGCAGGCTTCCACTTAACTAGGGCTTATTTTTAGGGTAGGGCTTATATTGCAAGCATTATGAAAAATCATTCTAGGGCTTATTTTCAGGTTAGGTCTTATTTTGGGGGAAACAGGGTAACTATCAGGTGTTCTATTACTGAAATTTAATTATAGCATTTATATGAGATAATTAAAGCACCTTGTTTTAAATCTATAGCAAGTTAAAACCCAGGGACAAATAGGCTCTGGATCTAGTCCAGCCAATATTCCATAACATGCATGTTGTTATTCTATGTAATCATTGTATCATGCAACTTGTATTCTTCCTATTGTCTCTTTTAAAAGCTCAATATAAACCACACCTAGAAATCAAGTAACTGGAACTAATACATCTTTCACTTCTGCAAAACAGCAACCTTACATGCTGACTCTTTTACATCTCCCTTTGTAATGCACAGAATCACTTATAAGATGTCAAGTTGCTCCTGCATTACATGTTCCTGTTTTAATTGCCAGCGATATGGGGTCAGGAAACACAAAAAGATGGTGATGTGAAAAAGAAAAATGGAAAAATCCTGTGACTGTCGAGAAGAGACATGGACAACAAGGCAATATTTTGGCCAAAGGAAAGTACAAACATTCCTGGTAATGGTCAGAGTGAATCATTTTAATGGCTTGCCTTCCATGCCATTTCCCTGAGTAATTTCATCAATTAGACTTTGGCTGTACCTCCAACAGGAAAATAGAAAAGCAAAAAGCAGATTCAAACAATGGGCTGCACATTAGATAAGAACTTTAAAATATACCCTGTTTCCCCGAAAATAAGACCTAACTTGAAAATAAGCCCTAGTATGATTTTTCAGGATGCTGGTAATATAAGCCCTACCCCAAAAATAAGCCCTAGTTAAGTGAAACCCCACCCTCCACCATTGGGTTGCAACCAGAAGAAGATGATATGACTGTAAATAAAATATCCCTGGAAAATAAGCCCTAATGCATTTTAGAGCAAAAATTAACATAAGACCCTGTCTTATTTTGGGGGAAACACGGTAGCTCTGCTTTAAACATAAACACAAAACCACATAATATTCAGAAGCAGGGAGGGGAAATTCTGAGTGAAAGACATGATAGATTGTTGTTAGCATTGTGAGCAACTTCTTAGTCTATAACTGCCAATGTGAAAATGTTCAATGCTACATCCAATTTACTCTTCACCTGAACATATCAGCTAAACTACAGAGAATTTGGCCATCCTGTACGAGTTTTCCTTCAAAAAGCAGGTAGTATCTCGCAGCTGTCACGTATTCTATGTACAGAAATTACCTACTTCAACATAACACACTGCTATCCAATCAATACATATGACAATGCTACTGCCAGGCAGGATTGATCTAATTTGGATCAAATTGATTTCAGTTACAATTTAATTCTAGAAGGGCTTGGCTGAATCATGCTAGTTCTCTCCCAGCACCATTAGTGTAATTTTGCCTGCTATAACCTTAATAGAAAAAGCTTCTATTCATTGACCCTTCCAGTGTTTGAAACTGCGCAATTCCAGAAGTGGGGAGCCAGGGTGGAGGAGGGGCGGCCTGATTTTGTCTACATAAAGTTGCAGTGACAGCAGTGTCTCAAAAGGAATCCTAGACGTTTTAACAGGCTTCCAAGAATTTACAAGGTTATATTATGCTCAGGGGTGTAAGGACTCCAGGACTAACTTAAGGAAGAGCTGGGGAAAAGGGCTGACTAGACACATTATTTCTCATCTTTAAACACTGCTGGTAACTGGTATGGATCTCTGAAGACACAAAAAAAGACTCACAATAAAGAATTAGAATTTATAACCCCTATTCCACAACATTTTAAAAAAATATAACACATTTTAAAATTCAAACACTAACAAAAAAAAGAATGATTTTCACATTTTTTAAAAAAATAATCCAATTTAAATTAAAAAGTCCAATTTAAGTTTTAAAGATTGGTTTTTATTTTTAGATCACTGGTTTTCATCCACTCTGCAGCCACAGGATGATCACAACTGCTAGTCTTTCATCTTATTTTTAGGCTTAAGAAAGCTGGGGGTGGAGAAAAACATAGGTTACATCTGAGATAGCTTCCTTTCTCATAATTTCTTATACTCAGCCATTTTAGCCGGGAAGATGGGAGATGTTTAACTGATACCATTCACTAGGAATAATCAAAATTATTACATAAGTCTACTAATACAAGCATCAGAAACCATCTATCTTTTCCACTATGCTTTTCTCAGAATTTTGTGATGAAATTCTTGGCTCAGAAACTGGGCACAGAAGGCTTGTACATCAGGGAAATCTGAACAGCAAAATACATGTATTAAAGAAAAGTGTGCATGAAAATTAATGAATTTTGTTCCTTTTTTTCAACATTGGAGATGAATGAAGAAACTGGACAGAACAGCCTGATGAATGAATATGTGCGGAATTGAAGAAGATGTTCATCAGTCCCTACCAATTGCTACATACTGCAAACAAACAGAATTAAGAGGCAATGGTTAGAGACAGGAAAAGGGCAACTCCTCTGAAACCTGCAGTCTAAACAAGCACCTTTAAGCAAAGGCTTGCCTTTCACACTCCACGGAAAGACATGACAGGCAGGAACTCAAGAAATCTGGGCAAAGTCTCTTGTTTATCTACAAGCAAACTGCAAGCAGAACTTTTTTGATAAAAATTTTATATTCAGTGGGTGCAGTCACATACAGTAATTATCATTAGGCATCTCGGTAAGACCAATGTAAAACTGGAAAAGAGCTCAAATATAATGGCCTGAGGCAAAATCACTATTCCCAGCGCACACAAGAGTCTTGCTTCTAAGAAACCAGGCTCAGAATCATCCTGAAAGTTAACTATGAAACAACATCCTTTCAAAATGTGCTTAGCGCAAACAATTAAATATATCATAAAGCAAAGGATGTAGCTAAATTTTATAGAAATAAAGCAAATCTGACTCATTAGGTGTTCTGCAGACATCAAGGTCAAGATACAGTACCAGGATACTGAGAGCACATCTCCTCTGTTTTTTAAAACCACATCCTAGGCTTAGTAGAGCTGAATTATGTCTGCACTGCAGACAGAAGGAACAAGTCAATAGTTGGTTCTTAAGTGTCTTCTGCCCCCAGGCAATCAAAACACTTTGTAAGCTTTTCA